TGGGTGACCGCGATGCAGGCGCGATATGTCGCCTTGCGGACGCGTGATGGTACAGAAATGCTGATTCCCAATGATCGTTTCATGAGTGAGGGGGTCATTAACTGGTCCCGATCTGACCGCGTGGTTCGTCTGCATGCGCCATTTGGCATCTCATACAGCACAAAAGACCTGCGCGCTGTGCAGAAGATGGCGGCTGAAGCTGCATCATCGGTAGATCGGGTGGTTTCCTCGCCACCGCCAGTATGTAACCTGGTTGAATTTGGTGACAGCTCTGTCAATTTTGACCTGCGTTTCTGGATCACTGACCCCGAAAGTGGGCTGGCTAATGTACGTAGCCAGGTGTTGCTGAACATATGGGATGCGTTGGCGGAGCAGGGTATTGAAATTCCCTTTCCGCAGCGTGATCTACATGTAAAATCCTGGCCCAAGGACGATGATTAACGCGCTAGCCCCGCGGTAGACAATCCTCCACAATAGCCAAACATTTCTCAGGTGGTGAGGCAAATGAGCCGTAAACCAACCCTCAATATTCCGCATCCGCCGGCGCGACCCGGTGATGCGCCTGATTTTGACTATGTGCAAATCTCTCCCGCGGGTGCTGCAGAACGCCCTGAAGTAAACAGTTCTGTGCGCAGTATGGATCACCTCAGTGATGAGATGGTGCGAGTTCTGGATGACAACCACGCAGCGGTTGGACCCTGGGATCCCCAGCTTGAAGCTGGTGAGCTGCAGATCGGTCTGCGCCATATGTTGCTCACGCGTCTTTTTGATGCCCACATGGTGCGTATGCAGCGGCAGGGGAAAATTTCTTTTTATATGCAGTCTCTCGGTGAAGAGGCGATATCCGTTGCCCAGGCTATGGCGCTCGAACCCTCGGATATGTTGTTTCCATCTTATCGCACCCAGGGTCTGCAGATTTCTCGTGGTCGCAACCCGATGGAGCTGATGTGTCAGTGCCTGTCAAATACAAACGATATGTGCAAGGGGCGGCAGATGCCCATTATGTATCACTGGGAGCGGGGCAATATTTTTTCTGTCACCGGTAATCTGACCGTGCAATATCCACAGGCCGTGGGCTGGGCGATGGCCGCTGCCATAAAAGGTGAAGATGATATTGCCGCAGCCTGGATCGGTGAAGGTGCCACCGCAGAGGCGGATTTTCACCACGCGCTGACGTTTGCTGCCGTGTATCAGGCGCCGGTCATTCTCAATGTGGTCAACAATCAGTGGGCGATATCTACATTTCAGGGGTTCGCCGGAGGTGAGCGTCGCTCCTTCGCCGCTCGGGGTCCTGGCTATGGCATTGCATCTGTACGTGTTGATGGGAATGACTTTCTGGCGGTTCATGCCGTTACACTCTGGGCGGCGGAACGTGCGCGAAGAGGGTTTGGGCCGTCTCTGATAGAACATGTGACCTATCGAGCCGGGGCCCATTCAACCAGCGATGATCCATCACGTTACCGACCCAAAGACGAATTTGCCGCCTGGCCGTTGGGTGACCCCCTGGAACGTTTGAAATCGCATATGGTCGAATACCATGGCTGGAGCGAGGCAAAGCATACAGCGTTAACAGACGAGCTCACGGAGCAGGTGGCGACCTGCTGGGAAGACGCCTGTAGTTACGGCACTATGAGTGAGGGCCCTTATCTGGATCACAGCGAGCTGTTTGAAGACGTCTACAAAGACATGCCAAATCATCTGTTAGAGCAGCGTGATGAATTGCGTCGTCTGCTTGAGGAGGATTAAGTATGCCTCAAATGAATATGATCCAGGCGTTGAACTCAGCCATGGATATTATGCTGGCGCGGGATGCGGGTGTGATTGTGATCGGTGAGGACGTGGGCTATTTTGGCGGTGTTTTCCGAACCACGGACGGACTACAGCGCAAATATGGTGAACAACGTGTCATCGATGCGCCGATTGCCGAAGGCGGCATTATTGGTGCAGCCATCGGTATGGGTGTTAATGGCTTGCGTCCGATTGCCGAAATTCAGTTTGCTGACTACATCTATCCCGGTTTTGATCAGATCGCCAGCCAGCTGGCCAAATTGCGCTATCGCACCGGCGGTGATTTCACTGCGCCTGTCACCATTCGCACACCCTGTGGCGGCGGTATTCGTGGGGGACAAACCCATTCTCAGAGCCCGGAGGGGTTGTTTACCCACGTCTCTGGCCTGAAGGTGTTGATGCCAAGCACCCCCTATGACGCCAAAGGGTTGCTGATCAGCGCGATTGAAGACGACGATCCAGTTGTGTTTTTTGAACCGAAGCGGTTGTACAACGGTCCGTTTGATGGCGATCCGGACAAGCCGGCTGTGCCCTGGAGTACCCATCCTGGCGGCGAAGTACCCCAGGATTACTACAGCCTCCCCATAGGCCGCGCGGAACTGGTTGGAACTGGTGATGAATTAACGGTTTTGTGTTATGGCACCATGGTCCATGTCGCCCAGGCCGCGGCGGCGCGGCTGGAGGTTGATGCCGATATTATCGACATACGTACGCTGCTGCCGCTGGACGTAGCTACCATCAAACAGTCTGTAGAAAAAACCGGACGCTGTTTGATTGTGCACGAAGCCACACGTTTTTCCGGCTATGGGGCTGAGCTTTCTGCAACGGTGGTGGAGGAGTGTTTCTATTCCCTGGAGGCACCGATACGGCGAGTGTGCGGTTTTGATACGCCTTACCCCCACGCCTTCGAATGGGAATATTTCCCGGGACAGAAGCGGGTGATGGCTGCCATGCAGTCGTTGCTGGAGGAAGGATGAGCGAATTTATCTTTAAATTGCCCGACCTGGGTGAAGGTACCGTCGAAGCCGAAATCGTTGAGTGGTACGTGCAGCCAGGAGACGAGGTGGTTGAGGGGCAGACCATTGCTGACGTGATGACAGACAAAGCTAACGTAGAGGTGCCTGCGCCTGTGAGTGGGCGCGTCCTGCGCATCTCTGGTGAGCCTGGGGATGTGGTTGCAGTGGGTAGCGAGTTGATTGCTATTGCAACCGGCAAGGATGTGAAACGTGATACAGCGCAATCGAAGGGCAGCAGAACAACGCAGCCCAAGGTGTCGCGTCCTGCCGCACCGGATCTCACCGCGCAATCCCCTCCTGAGTCAGTTCCCGAGCCCGTCTCAGAGCCTGAAGTTCCAACGCCAATGGACCCACCTGCCAGTCGAGCCAAGGTGCTGACGTCCCCAGCGGTGCGCAAGCGTGCGCTTGAAGCCGGCGTTGATCTAACACAGGTGGCGGGCACCGGCCCTAACGGACGAATTCTTGCCCACGATCTTGAGCTTCACTTGGAGCAGGGCGGGCCGGTACAGGCGGTTGTAGCGGCTTCTGTGCCGTCTGCCGCGCCGCCTGCACAAGACACCAAAATAATTGGCATCAGGCGCGTCATTGCTGAACGGCTGTCTCAAAGTAAGCGGGAAATTCCACATTTTGCCTATGTTGAAGAAGTCGATGTTTCTGCGCTGGAAGATCTGCGCAATCATCTGCAATCGAGTCGTGAGGTAAAGTTGTCCATATTGCCTTTCATCGCCCTGGCGGTGCTGCGGACGCTGCCTGAGTATCCCCAATGCAACGCGCACTATCTGGCCGAAAGCGGCGTGCTGCGGACGTTCTCTAAGGTGCAATTAGGTATTGCGACACAGACACCGGATGGCCTGAAAGTACCGGTTGTCACCCATGCTGATGATTTGTCTTTCTGGGCATTGGTTGATGCCATCGCAACAGTCGCGCTGCGCGCTCGCCAGGGCCAGGCAAAACCCGCGGAGTTAAGTGGTTCATCAATAACCATCACAAGTCTGGGCAGACTGGGTGGTGTCGTCTCCACACCGATTATTAATTATCCGGAAGTGGCCATTATTGGCGTTAACAAAGTGGTCAGAAGGCCGATGGTCATGGGGGATACGGTGCAGGTCAGGTCGGTGATGAACCTCTCAAGTTCTTTTGATCACCGCTTTGTTGATGGCTTCGATGCGGCCTCAATGATTCAATCTGTCAAGCAGCGTCTGGAGCATCCGGCAACGCTGTTTATGCCCGAGCCTGATACCGCGCCGGGTTAACCCTTGAATTGAGGCGGGCGTTTTTCTGCAAATGCTCTGACCGCTTCGCGATGATCCGCGGTGGTTCTGCTTTTTAACAGTCGATCGGCTTCTCGGTCGATTGCGGTCGCGTGATCGATCTGCAACGCTTCATCCAGATTTTCTTTAATATATCTGTAGGCTGTCTGCGGGCCGTTTGCCAGGTGTGTGGCGATGGCAAGTGCCTCTGTGTGCAGATCTTTGTCATCAAGCCGTCGGTTGATCAGCCCGATCTTTAATGCTTGTTTGCTGTCAACACGTTCGGACGTCAGCATCAAAGCCCGCGCAATCGCCGGTGCCACCGTACGACTGAGCAACCAGGCGATACCATAGTCACCACTCAAGCCGATTCGCGCATAACCTGTGCTCAGGAAAGCAGATTTGGCTGCCACGCGCATGTCACATGCAAGGGCGATGGCCATACCGGCTCCAGCAGCGGCGCCGGGCAGGGCGGCGATTGAGGGTTTCGACATTTTGCGTAGCGCACCGGCAATGCCCTGGTGGCGGCGTTGCAGGGCCTGAAACTGTTCCTCGAAGGTGGGCGCGGCTTGCTCAGCCGGAGTGGCTGCACCCATGGCTTTGACGTCTCCGCCTGCACAGAAAGCGTTGCCGGCCCCGGTCAACAGCACCGCGCCAACCTCAGGTGCGTCAGCGGCCCAGGCGATAGCCGCGGTTAATGCGCTGGTCATGGGCGGTGATAAGGCATTGCGTGCTTCTGGCCGGTTCAACGTCAGAACCGCGACGCCGTTGATGGTCTCAACCTGCAGATGATCGGTATCAGATTTAAACTCGGTCATGGTTTCCCCTTGCCGTCTCGATAAGTGTAGTGACGAGATATGTTAGTTTGTCAGGGTGGGAAACAACAGGTGGATGGGGAGGCGAGTTTTGCTACGCTCCTGTCAGCGGAATTTTTAAGGAGGATAATATGAGTGAAGTGAACCAGGAAAAAGGCCAGGCGGAAGACGCCAACAGTTTCCTCAGCCCTTATCTGTCGAAAAACCCTCCGCCGGTGATTGAAGACCCATATGCGGTACCCATTGAAGACATTAACGTCATTGATGGTCGATTGTTTCAACGCGACATTCACTGGGCACATTTCAAACGCCTGCGCGAAGAAGATCCGGTGCATTTTAATGAGCTGCCTGGAATCGGACGCTATTGGTCACTGACGAAGTTTGAAGACATCATGTTTGTCGATACCCATCACGAACTGTTTTCATCCGCGCACGGAATCTCACTGGGCCCACAGATTGATGGTCCGAGGCAGCCCGAAGCGCTGCAGTTTTCGAACTTCATTGCCATGGATCCACCGAAACATGACCTGCAGCGGGCAACTGTCACAGGTGTGGTGGCGCCGCGGAACCTGGCCAAGCTGGAATCCACCATCCGCGAACGGACGCAAAAAGTGTTGCGTGGATTACCGGTTGGGGAAACGTTTAACTGGGTAGATCGTGTCTCCATAGAGCTGACCACACAGATGCTGGCCACGCTGTTTGATTTCCCGTTTGAAGAGCGGCGTAAATTAACCCGATGGTCTGATGTGGCCACGGCACCGCCAGGAACCGGTATTGTTGACACTGCAGAGCAGCGACGTGAGGAGTTAATGGAGTGCCTGGCTTATTTCACAAAACTCTGGAACGAGCGGATCAACAAGGAACCGGGCACTGATCTGATTTCCATGCTCGCTCATGGCAAAGACACCAAAAACATGCAGCCCTTCGAGTTTCTGGGCAATCTGATTCTGCTGATTGTCGGGGGTAACGATACCACCAGGAATTCAATGAGTGCCGGGGTGCTCGCTTTGAATCAGAACCCGGCTGAATATGAAAAATTACGCGCCAACCCGGGTCTGATCTCGAATATGGTGCCAGAGATTATCCGCTGGCAGACGCCGCTACCGTATATGCGTCGCACCGCTAATCAGGACATAGAGATCCGTGGTAAACAGATCAAAGTCGGCGACCAGCTGCTGATGTGGTACGTCTCAGGAAACCGCGATGAAGAGGCGATAGACCGGCCCAATGAATTTCTGATTGATCGGCCTAACGCGCGTCATCATTTATCGTTTGGTTTTAGTATTCACCGTTGTATGGGCAATCGTCTGGCTGAAATGCAGTTACGGGTGTTATGGGAAGAAATATTGCCGTTATTCAGGAAGGTTGAGGTGGTCGGAGAGCCTCAGCGACTGCGTTCGAGCTTCGTACGCGGGATCACCGACCTGCCAGTGCGGGTGTATCCCCACTAATAAACGAAACCTAGCCCCCAGATGCCACCCATAACAATACCTACGGCGGCGGTTGGAAAGGCGATACCGGCAACCACGGAACCGACAGGGTCATCAATCCAACGTGCTGCTTTGTCGCCCAGGGTTTCTTGCGTTCTGGGGGTTTCGTTGGCTTGGTTTTCAGCTTCAGACATGGTTTTTCCTTTCGAGCGTGGGTTAGTTTGTTGAGCGAGGGCCCCTGATTCGGCGGCCAGTCTACTGGCTGCCAGATGATCAACAATCCGATTTCCGCGACGCTACTGTTCGGAATTACCGGCATGCGAGTAACAGGTCTCGCATACCTTTCTGGTGAGGAATAATCGCCTGTAAAGGCCTTCAGGTTTCAGCGTAGTTCCATACCTTCCAGTGTGCCTGCATCCCGCCATTTCTCCAGCAGCTCGTTGAAAGCGTTGATGCCGGGTGCAAACGGTGAATTCTGCATGTTCGCTTCTGAACTCTTGCCTTCGCGGTTGTAGTAACCGGGTGTACATTCTTCGAGGAAGGCCGCTGCACCACTGCCGGCGAGTTGAACAATTTTATCCACCCATGCCTGCTCCGCTTCCGGGGTCACCTCAACCACCTGTTTGCCGCGCTTCTTTACTTCTTCAATGATGTAACCTACGTGTACCGCCTGGTCGTCAAACATTGCGGTCATATTTGGCGACAGACCATTCTGATTGATGCCGATGGTGAACCAGTTGGGAAAACCATGACTTGAGAGACCGTGAAGTGTGCGAAACCCACCAGCCCAATGGTCGTACAGTGACTCACCGTTGCTGCCGAGGGTGTCAAAGTCTACCCGTCGATGTGCGGACGTTGTGATTTCAAAACCGGTTGCGTAGATAATGCAGTCCACCTCATAGCTTTTGCCATTGGCAACAACGGCATTGCTGGTAATGCGCTCAACCCCCTTTGATTCGGAAACATCTACCAGCTCAACATTGTCGCGGTTGAAAGTCGCCAGAAATTCATCGTTGAAGGTTGGCCGTTTGCAGAACTGTCGGTACCACGGCTTCAGGCTTTCTGCGGCGTCGGTTTTTTTCACTTCCTGGTCAACCCGGCTGCGGATTTCGTTCATTTTCTGGAAGTCGGCAATCTCGGAGCGCAGCATAATTTCTTCCATGTCCAGATCGCCTGCGTCTGAGTTTCGATTCATCAGCGACAGGCCAATTCTGCGTGCAATATCCGTCCAACCATCGGCAACCAGGTCTTCACCAAAGTTCTGACCCGCAAGCACTGCGGCAAAATTTTCCCGTCGTGCTCTTTGCCAGCCACTTTCGAGGTTCTGATACCATTCTTTATCTGTAGGCTTGTTGCCACGCAGATCAACTGATGACGGGGTGCGTTGGAACACATAGAGTTTTTCAGCATGCTGACCGACATAGGGTACACACTGTATAGCAGTTGCCCCGGTGCCGATGATCGCAACGCGCTTGTCTGCAAGTTTGGTCAAACCACCGTTGTGATCGCCTCCGGTATAGTCATAGTCCCATCGCGAAGTATGGAAAGTGTGCCCCTTAAAGTCACTGATACCAGGGATGCCGGGTAGCTTGGGGCGATTGGCGGGCCCGGTTGCCTGAATCACAAACTGGGCTTTGATGTTGTCGTTGCGCTGGGTCGATATCTGCCAGCGCTGTTCTTCTTCGATCCACTTCACTTCATTGACCCGGGTCTGGAAGATGGCCTGGTCGTAAAGACCAAAATATTCACCAATGCGCTGGGTGTGCTGGTAAATCTCGGGGGCAAAAGAATACTTCTCTTTAGGCATGAAGCCGGTTTCTTCCAGCAGCGGTAAGTAACAGTAGGATTCGATATCGCACTGCGCGCCGGGATAACGGTTCCAATACCAGGTGCCGCCAAAGTCTCCGCCGGCTTCTATGATACGGAAATCGGTGATGCCTCTTTCTTTCAGGCGCGCAGCGGTCATCAGACCGCTGAATCCCGCGCCGATGATGGCAACCTCGATATCCAGATCAAGCGGGTCTCGCTCCAGGTTGGCGTCTACATAGGGATCGTCGTCAGCGTAGTGCGCAAATTCAGAAGCCGCTTCTACGTACTGGTTTTCGCCATCTTCGCGGATGCGCTTGTCGCGTTCAAAACGATATTTCTCGCGCAAAGCCTGTGGATCGAAGTCGAGGTCAGGAAACAAATTATGTAGCCGTTCTCTTTCCGTGGACATGTGTGCTCTCCCTGGGTGTGTCATGAATATGCTGGATGTTACAAAAATATACGGGTGCGTGCTTGCAGCAAACAACCTCTCCCATGCTGATTTTCAGACTCCATGTACTAGGTAAGCGTCCCCAGGGTCTATAGACTCTGGCTCCAACTGATCAATTGGAATTCAAAAATGAAAGTAGCTGTGGTGACCGGAACCAGTACTGGAATTGGCCTTTCTGTTAGCGTGCATCTTGCCAAAAACGGCTATCAGGTGTTTGCCGGCATGCGCAATCTGGCGAAGGCTGATGCACTCAAAGAAATTGCTGAGGCGCAAAGCCTGCCAATAGAAGTTGTTCAGCTCGATATCTGTGATGCTGAATCTGTAGATCGTGCGTTCAGTGAAATACTCGGCCGCGGTAACGTTGACGTATTAATCAATAATGCCGGTATCGGTGGCGCATCGCCGTTGGAGCTCACGCCGGAAGACGAACATAAACAGATGTTTGAAACCAATTACTTCGGCGCCGTCCGGTGCATTCAGGCGGTTTTACCAGCCATGCGTGAACGGGGTGCCGGCTGTATTGTGAACATCACGTCAGCAGTTGGATTGATCGCAACGCCGAATCAGATTGCCTATTCCGCATCGAAGTGGGCGTTGGAATGTTTAGGCGAGGCGTTGGCACACGAAGTTTTCAGGTTTGGTGTGCGGGTGGTGAACGTTGAACCCGGTGTGATCATGACCAACATTTTTGAAAACTCTGCCGAGCAGACAAGATACGACAAAACGTCACCTTATCAGCCCGTGATGCGCCGTAACGGCAAGCTGTTTGCGGCTGGGTTTGCCCGCGCTGTGCCACCGGAGCGGGTATCTGAAACTATTCTTGAAGCGATCGAAACACAGGATTATCGCTTACGCTGGCCGGTCGGGCCGGATGCCGAAGGGTTCATGCAGGCCAGAGGGAAGGTGTCTGCAGAAAGCTGGATACAGATGGGTGATGAGCTTTCCGATGATGAGTACAACACAAAGTTCGAAGAATATTTCGGCATAAAGCTGACTTGACTTCAACGACCCGCTCGCCAAACTGTTACCTGGACGGTGCGCCTAGTGCGCTAAGAGGGAACACGGTGCGGCGGTGCTTGGGCTGCTGCTTAAAAAACCGTGGCTGTGCCCGCAACTGTGAACCGGAAATAGACGGTCAATACCACTGACGAGACGCTTGTTTTGTTGGGAAGGGACCGGATGTGTTAATCGGTAAGCCAGGAAACCTGCCGTCGTGTCGCTCGTCTGAAGCCGGGAACTGCTTGTTTAAGACGGGAAAACTTCCTTTGTAGCGACATTATCGCCAGGCCCTGCATGCAGATAGCTGTGCAGAGTGTGGGTTCTTCTGTTGCTATGAGGTTGTTTATGCGCCCAGTTCTGGTTGTTGCTGCAGTACTTCTGCTCCTATGCGATAGCACGCGATATGTCTATGCAGAGGTCTATGCGACGGCTGCAAAGGTTCCCCCAAAAAGAATTGTCAGCCTCGACTATTGTGCTGACCAGTACGTGCTGCAATTTACCGCAGCTGAAAACATTCTTGCGCTCTCTCCAGAGGCGGTGCAGGAATTCAGCTATTTCCGTGATCGTGCACAGGACTTTCCTAGCGTGCGTCCTATGGTTGAGGATGTCATTTCCATAAAGCCGGATATGGTTGTTCGTTCTTATGGCGGCGGCTATGGCATTGTTGAGGTGTTGGCTCAGCTGGATATTCCCGTGGTACAGATCGGCTATGCAAACACCCTTGCTGAAGTGAAACAGTCGGTTTTATCTCTATCCGCCGCGTTGGGTACGGCGCAGATGGGTGAAAAGATAGCCGCGGATATGGATATGCGCCTGCAGCAGATCTCGGCAGAAGTCAGAGCTGCAGAATCATCCGCTCTGTATATGACGCCAACGGGCGTTACCGCTGGGCCTGGCACATTGATGCATGACGTTTTACTGGCGGCCGGATTCGATAATTTTGAGAACAAGCCCGGTTGGCGCGCTTTACCCCTTGAGCGATTAGTCTACGGTGGTCCGGATGTGGTGGCTCGAGCATTTTATCAATCAGCCTATGGGCATCGAGACCTGTGGTCTGCTGCCGCTCATCCTGTCACACAACGTCAGCTGGCCAAAGCGCGTCAGGTGCCGCTGGAAGGTGCCTGGACGTCGTGTGGTGCCTGGTTTCTGATGGATGCGGTGGAGGCATTGCGGGATGAGCTGGCCAATCGAACAGTGGTGGACGCTGAAGAAGGTGGGCGCGAGTGATGTCCGCAAGAATCAATATTTTACTGTGTCTGCTCTTGTTGGCGACTCTGTTTTTTGCCTGTCTGCTGGGCTCGACAACTCTTTCGCCTTTAACCGTTTTACAGACAATGCTTGGTGATGGTGAGGCCGCGGATCGTATTATTGTGTGGCAGATTCGCCTGCCTCGTGCACTGGCTGCGATGTTTGTGGGTGCCGGGTTGGGAATGAGTGGCGCTGCATTACAGGGTCTGCTGCGTAACCCGTTGGCAGAGCCTGGCGTGCTAGGTGTCTCAGCCTCAGCTGCACTGGCAGCAACTGTGGTCATCTATTATGGATTTGTTCAACTCAGCGCCTTAATGCTGCCTGTCGCAGCGATTGCTGGCGCCTTAGTTGCTACGGGGCTGATCGCAGCGGCAGCGCTCGCATCTGCTTCTGCGGTAACGCTGATACTCATTGGGGTGGGTTTGTCGAGTTTTGCTGCGGCGTTGATGTCGTTGCTGATGAATTTTGCGCCCCATCCTTTTACGCTCGCAGATATGATCAACTGGATGCTGGGTTCGGTTGCCAATCGTAGTTACGCGGATCTGCAGCTTTCTCTGCCTTTTCTACTCATAGGGATGATGGTGTTGTGGGTGAGCAGGCGCGGACTTTCAGTCCTGTCTTTAGGTGAAGAGGCTGCCCGCGGAATTGGTCTGAACCTTCGTCGCCAGCGCCTGCTGGTTGTCACCGGTGCGGGTATTGCCACCGGTGCAGCGGTGGCTTTAGCGGGTGCCATTGGTTTTGTTGGTATTGTTGCACCTCATATCGTACGCCCCTGGGTAGGGTTTGACCCGGCGCGCACACTTTTTCCCAGTGCGCTGTTAGGTGGTTTGTTACTGGTGCTGGCCGATATCATTCTAAGACTGTTGCCTACCACCGGAGAGTTGAAGCTCGGTGTTGTCGCAGCGCTGTTGGGCGCCCCGGTATTTATCTGGATCGCCTTTCACCGCAGCGTTCGGGGGGTGTGATATGCATCTGGTTGCGCAGGGCCTGGTTGTTGAAGCTCATGGTGTACGTTTACTGCACAACATTGATGCCGGTTTTCGGCAGGGTGAACTGGTCGCGGTGCTTGGACCCAACGGCGCGGGCAAGACCACGCTGTTACGGTCATTGTTAGGTCTGCAGAAGTTAAGCAGAGGAAGTGTGCAGCTTGATGGCCAGCCGATCTCAAAATTTAATGACCTCAGTCGTGCTGTGCGCGTGAGCTATCTGCCTCAACAACGTGAACTGGTCTGGCCGAATCAGGTGGACGATGTTGTTGCCCTTGGACGTTATGCGCACGGGACATCTGGCGGAAGGTTGAACGCGCAGGATGTATCCGCGGTTGAAGAAGCGATTGCCAGCTGCGCGCTGGAGGATTTAAGAAGCCGTAGACTGGATACACTCTCTGGTGGTGAATTGGCACGGGTTCACTGCGCTCGAGTCTTCGCGACACAGTCTCCTCTTGTTGTGGCGGATGAACCTATCGCCGGTCTGGATCTGTACCACCAGCACCGCCTGATGGCGCTGTTTCGTGAAGCGGCTGATCAAGGGCGTGGCGTGCTGCTTGTATTGCACGATGTCAATCTTGCTCTCAGTTATGCTGACCGGATTATCTGGGTGAATGAGGGTGTTGTTGTGGGTGAGCATCAACCTCATGAAGTGACAGCGGCTTTTATCGCAGACCTTTTTTCTGTCGAGGCATCCGTCGTTCAGTTCGATAACCGCGCGCACATATTGACATCCGGCCATGCCGGTAAGTCTTCAACGTCACGGAGAGTGGAATAATGATGACACGATGGGGGCAGGATCTGCTTGAGGACTCAAGCTGGCTGCAGGAATACCCGCGTCCACAGATGCAACGCAGACAGTGGGTAAATCTGAACGGTTTCTGGCAATACGCGATAACGTCAAAAACACTTGGCTGCCCGTCGAAGTGGGATGGCGAGATACGCGTACCGTTTTGTGTTGAGAGCCTGTTATCCGAAGTTCAGCAATCCGTTAATGAAAATCAACGGCTCTGGTACCGCCGCCAGTTTCAGATTGAGGCGCTCTCCCAGCGAACGCTGTTACATTTCGGTGCAGTCGATTACGAATGTTCCATTTGGATCAATGGCGGACTGGTTGGTGGACATGTTGGTGGTTCAACGGCCTTCTCGTTAGATATCTCTGAGTTTCTTGTTGCGGGTATTAATGAACTTGTTGTGGCGGTGACTGACCCGACCAGCGCATCTGATCAACCGCGAGGAAAGCAGCACCTGAATCCTAACGGCATCTGGTACACGCCTGTAACAGGCATCTGGCAAACCGTCTGGATGGAACAGGTTCCGCTGGCGCATCATATCGAAGCTCTGAAGGTCACGCCTGCTGAGCAGTGTGACGCCGTGGAAGTGGTTGCTTTTCTGCATCGGCCCAGTCGCAATCCCCGTCTGGCCGTGGAATACACTGTCCGATTACATGGGCAAGTGGTTGCTAGAACTGTGGGTCGCGCCAATCGGAAAGTTGTTGTTGCGTTGCCTGATGCTCAGCTGTGGTCACCGGAGAACCCCGTACTCTATGACTTAAACGTCCGTCTGATCCCTGTAATCAATCCATTGCCTGAGAAGAACGATGAGCAGCAGCCTGCTCAATTGATTCGGGACACGCCATTGCGAGGCTGCGTCGAAGCATCACTGTATGTGGGAGCCCAAGTCTCCGGAGAAGTGATTGATGAGGTCGACAGTTACTTCGGTATGCGTTGGGTTTCTGTGGGTCCCCACCCGACAGGGGGGCAGCCGACCATGCTTCTGAATGACAAGCCATTGTTTCATCTCGGCACGCTTGATCAGGGATGGTGGCCTGATGGGCTGCTCACGCCGCCCGGTGACGATGCCATTCTGTTTGAGTTGAATTACCTGAAAGCTGCCGGTTTCAATACCGTCCGCAAACACATCAAAGTTGAGTCTGCGCGCTACTACTATCACTGCGATCGTCTTGGCTTGCTGGTCTGGCAGGATATGCCTTCTGGGTTTATCCCCGCACAATTTGTCGCCCCGAACGATGAAGACGAAGATCAAAGATCACCACATAGCAGCATCCGGTTTACTAATGAACTGCAGGAAATGATCCTGCAATTGTCGCATCACCCCAGCATCGTTATGTGGGTGTTACATAATGAAGGTTGGGGACAGTTTGATACACATCGACTGACGCAGATTATTCGCGGTCTTGATGCGGCACGCTTGATCAATTCAAGCAGTGGCTGGTTAGATGTCGGCGCAGGAGATTTGATCGATAAACACGACTATACGTCCGAACCCCTTCCGCCTGAAGCCGATGGTCAGCGTGCGCTTGTGATTGGCGAGTATGGTGGCGTGGGTTGGCCGGTGGCAGGGCATCTATGGAATCCTGAGATGCGTAACTGGGGCTACCAGACCTTTCACTCTTCCGCAGAGGCTCAACAGGCTTATATCAAAGCGACAACAGCAGTCCTGCAGATGCGTGAGGCCAACGGTTTGTCAGGTGCTATTTACACCCAGACCAGCGATGTTGAGGGTGAGGTGAATGGATTGCTCACTTATGACCGGGTGCTTAAAAAATTCGATAGCGACTGGCTAAAGCGGATCAATACGGCAGGCGATGGATCATGACAGGCAGTTGAGCCACATCTCTTGTAATACATCCCGGCTCAGGTTGTTCAGACGCTGCAGGTTGTTTGCGGGTATTGATTCGATGTCAGGGTAGCTGTCCACCGCTTTTGTTACAGAGTCCTCGCGCAGCAAATGCAGCAGGGGATAGGGTGTGCGGTTGGAATAGTTTTCCGCATCGCCGGGTTCAGTGCCGGCAAACTGGTAATCCGGATGAAAACTGGCGATCTGAAAAATACCGTCGAACGTGGGTTGTTTCAGCAGCCGTTCTGTTTCAGAAAGATATTCATTGTAGTCGTAGAAGTTGCCCAGAACATTTGGGTGTATCAGCAGCGTGGTCTCTATAGAGGGGGTCGCCAGCAGTAGGTTCAGCTCGTTTTCGAGAGCATGTGTCAGTTCGGCTTCAGTTTTTGCCCCGCTGACCTCATAGCGGATACCGTCATTGAGTGATACCCGCCGGGCAAAAGGGCAGAGGTTAAGGCCTATGACAAACTGGCTTAACCAATGCTCAACAGTCGAAACAACTTCTGCTTCATCCATTTCAGGGTTTGTTTGACCAGACCTGTTGACCGCCGAGGAATACCGCGTTTGTTTGCATGTTAAGCAATGCGGGATCTGGCACAGTTAAAGGATTTTGCTCAAGGATAATAAAGTCTGCCAGCATACCTGGTAAAAGCTGGCCTTTGATGTCTTCTTCCCTGGTCAGGAAGGCACCTTTAGCGGTGTAAGCACGTAGTGCTTCAAACCGCGAAATTTTTTCCTCCGCCCCGAAAACTGCACCTGACATGCCCTGCCTGGTGGTCGCTGCGTAAATACCAACCCACGGCCCTAGCGGCAGGATGTCACTGGACATGGCAACGTGGATGCCGTGGCCCATTGGACTTGCCATGGGGTTGTTGGACTGCAGACGCTGCCCGTCAAGATATTCTGTGTATCTGCCTTCCAGGGTATACATGAAATTAGGCTGTTGTGTGATGGCGATAGCGTTTGTGGCCATGTTTTCCATAGTCTGCGTGCTGGGTTTGATCGTGAAGTGATTCAGATAGTGGCGGTGGTCTTCACGCGGCATGTCCGCCAGCGCTTCGCTCAGATAGTCGACCACCAGTTCAATGGCTGCATCACCAATGGCATGAATTCCCATCTGCCAGCCCTGCTGATGTACCTGTCGAATCAAAGCGCGCAGATCCCCCTCGGTCATATTCAGCTTGCCCCGGTACTCATCTTCGCCGCGGTAGGGCTTGGTTGTGTAAGCCGCAGGACCGGTGAACCCTCCATCAGCAAATATCTTGATAGCACCCACGCGCAGATGGGCATCACCGTCACCACTTTTCTGGCCAAACGCCGACATCTTTTCGTCTCCGGCGTAAGCCAGCTGTACCGCAGCTCTGGGTAATCTGCCCCGATGTGTTGCGTAGATGTGTTGCCATTCCGGGTAGTAGTCAACGCTGGTTGAGGCCTCAACAATGGAAGTGATCCCCAGCGGAAAGAGGTTCTGCAGCTCTTGCACCAGGCTTGGACGCAGTTCGTCGTAAGTGGCCTGGGGAACAAGTTTGCCGACCAGTTCTTCGTGTCGTTCACGAATGATGCCATTCAGCGCGCCTTTATCGTCCCGTTCAATGGTGCCACCTTCAGGGTCCGGTGTTTGCGCGTTTATGCCGGCCAAGCGCAGGGCTTCACTGGAAAATACAGCGCTGTGTGCGCCGGCCCGGGTCAACATTATCGGATTGTCTGGTGCGGCGGCGTCAAGATCAGCGATCAGCGGCCGGCGTAATTCAAGTAAGGTATCTTCTGACCAGCCGTATCCGGTGATCCAATCCCCAGCCGGTAACTGACTTGCCTTGGCGCGAATCAGATCCTGTATTTCGGCAATTGAAGTGACCTTGGTCAGGTCGATATATCGCCTGGCTTTTCCCGATATGTGAACGTGTGTATCAATGAACCCTGGCATTATCGTCTGGCCCTGCAGGTCGACCAACTTTGCCTTGGGATAGCGTTTGCGCAGTGAGTTGCTACCAATGTCCAGGATCTTGTTATCTTCGATCACTATAGCCTGGGCCTGAGTATTGGCTTCATCCAGCGCCAGAACTGTGCCGTTGTAGAACAGCGTGTGGGTGATGTCGTGATGTGGATCGTTCGCGTCCGGTTCAGCAAAGATGAGCTGTGTGCTGCCAGCTATCCATAGAAGGAGGATGAAAGAACCACGTTGTATTGTCATTTGTCTTCACTTTGATCAGGATCGCTCTGCATTAAACACCTGCGGTAGACGGCTGCCAAGACTGCATTTTGGGGCGCAGGATTTGTAAAAAGCCTGAATGGTTCATAATTGTCTGTGATGCGCTTGAAATGAATCAGGCCAGGGTTGAAGATCAGATCAGAGAAGTTTTCCCTGTTGCAGAAAAAGGCGTCGAGCTAGCTGAAATATAGGAGAAGGTAAGAAATGGCCATTGATCAACCTGTGCGATTGAAAGGTGCTCCTGGATCGCCTTATACAAGGAAAATGCTGGCTTATCTGCGTTACAGACATATTGGTTACCAGTTCCTGATCGGCAATCATGCTACAGACCTGGGGCTGCCTGAGCCAAAAGTTGAGTTGTTACCCACATTTTATCTGCCCGACGAGCGGGGTGACTTGCAGGCGGTTGTTGACTCAACGCCGCTGATCAGGCGCTTTGAGGCGGAAGTCGACGGACGCCACGCTCTACCGGATAACCCGGTGCTCAGTTTTGTTAATTATCTGATTGAAGACTATGCAGATGAATGGCTGACCAAGGCGATGTTTCACTACCGCTGGTATTACGAAGCTGACATAAAGATGGCGGGCACAATATTGCCGCTGTGGCGATCGATACAGATGTCTGACGAACAACTGCAGAAAATGAGCGCTTATATCGCCGAGCGTCAGATATCGCGCCTCTATGTGGTGGGCTCTAACGACATAACGGCTCCGGTGATCGAAGACAGCTACAAAAGATTTTTGCAGATTTTTGACCGACTCATTCAAAAACAACCATTTGTGCTGGGCCGTCGCCCGAGTTCTGCTGACTTCGGGGTGTATGCGCAGTTGACTCAACTGGCCAAATTCGATCCGACACCTGCAGCGCTGTGTATGCAGGTAGCACCGCGCGTACACGCGTGGACAGATTTGTTAGATGATCAAAGCGGGAATGCTGCTTCAGCAGATGCCTGGATGTCGATTGATGATGTGCAGGCGACACTGGCGGAGCTGTTAGCTGAAATCGGTCGTGTTTATGTCCCGGCGCTGTTGGCGAACGCAGCTGCTCTGCGGTCAGGTGAAGCACAGATGCAAACCACCATTGATGGCAGAGCCTGGCAGCAGCCGGTGTTCCCTTATCAAGGTAAGTGTCTGCAATGGATTAACGAGGAATATCAGCGCCTGACAACGTCGGATCAACAACAGGTTAACCATATTCTGGCAGGCACAGGGTGCGAGGCACTTCTGATGACTGATTTGTGAGGTCTTCGATTTCCGGTGGCTGGGTAAGAGGTTGGCGATGGAGTCAGAGTTGTACACCGGCGTTTGTGAATGTGTCGCAGGCGGCAACGCTGCCTTGCTCCAGGCCGGTATTGAACCAGGCCTGACGCTGCCTTGAAGATCCATGGGTGAACGATTCAGGCCGCACCTGTCCGCCTGCGCGGCGTTGCAGAGCGTCATCGCCAATCGAAGCGGCCGCGGCAAGGCCTTCTTCTACATCACCAGGGTCAAGTAGATTCCGTTCATTTTCAGCGTAGTGGGCCCAGATGCCCGCATAACAATCCGCCTGCAATTCCACCAGAACCTGTAATTGATTGGCATCGGTCTGAGATAAACCGCGTTTGCGCTCGGCAACAGCCTGTAAGACACCGGTGACGTTTTGTATGTGATGCCCTACTTCGTGACCAATGACATACGCCTGAGCAAAGTCACCCGGTGCACCCAGTTGTGCAAGCTGATTGAAAAACGACAGATCCAGATAAACTCTTTGATCCGGTGGGCAATAAAAGGGTCCCACCGCGGCTGTGTTATAGCCACAAGCCGAGTTGACGGCATCGCTGAATAGTCGCAGCTTGGGTTGGGGATATTGCGCATTTGCCTGAGCAAACAAGGCGGTCCATGTGTCTTCCGTATCAGCGAGAATCACGCCAACAAACTGAGCGGCATCGTCATTGCCTAGCGGTCCAGGGTTGACCTGGGGTGCATTCTGGCTGACTTGTGGCGCGCCACCGCCACCTAACAGCATGCCCAGAATTTGAGAAACGTCACCACCCATGAAATACACAACGCCAATCAGCACCAGGGTGCCGATACCGCCTTTAAGCTTCAGACCGCCAGCGCGTGCGCCTCGACTGGCGCGTTGACCGCGGGCATCTTCAACATTCGAGCTGGTGCGCCGTCCTCGCCATTGAACCATGTCTTAATATCCCTCTGCGTGTGCCTGCGCTGCTGCTAACAGTCGGGTCACGTTGCCGCCCCAGATTTTGGCAAGATCTTCCTCTGTATAGCCTTCTGCCAGGAGCCGTTCAGTTATGCGAGGGAAGGCAGCAATATCCTGCATGCCCGCAACACCGCCACCGCCGTCCCAGTCTGCACCGACACCCACGTGGTTCGGACCGATGAGTTCCAACACATGAAGGAAGTGATCCATGTAGTCCTCAAAAGTAGCCAGGGCGGGTGGGTATTGAGCGTCAATCTCTCGTCGCCGTTGGGTGAGCTCTGCGCGTCGACTTTCGCTCATATCGGTGGTGGCTCTCATTTCCGCAAACAGCGCGCCCATGGCGGCCTGGCGCTCGGGGTTTGCGGGTAATTCTGTGAGATAGGCACCCAGAGCGTTCATCTGGATAACGCCGCCTTGTTCCGCCAGCTGCAGCAGGCGGGCATCATCGATGTTGCGCGGGTGATCGAAGATGGCTTTGGCGCCAGAGTGAGACAGGATGATGGGTGTGGCGGAAAGCTCTAACAACTGATCAAACACCAGGTCGTGGGCATGGGACCCATCCAGAATCATACCCAGACGGTTGGCTTCGGCGACCAGTTCCCGGCCTAGTGGCGACAGACCTTGCCACGTCGGTCCTTCGGGATCTGTTGCGCTGTCTGCAAATTGGTTATTGGCAAAATGTACCGGGCCTACCATTCGTACGCCCAAGTCGAAAAAGTCTTTGAGATTAGACAGATCTTCGCCAAGGGGGTAAGCGTTTTCGATGCTCTGATAAACGATGCGTTTGCCTGCGGCTGCGATGCGCGCGGCATCTTCTGCAACCAGGGCAAGCTCAAAATCATCCGGGTTGGCAGCAACCATGTCTCGGATTGCCGCTGACCTCTCTAGTGCAACCTGCAATACGTCAGCATACGCTTCGTCGGTCAGCTCTCCCTGGCGTGTAAAGATGACCCAGTAGCCGCCATCTAAACCGCCTTCGATCATTCTTGGCAGGTCGACCTGGGAGTAATCGCTTAACGGGTCATGTCTATGAGTGATATCGAATCCCGGTTGTACCAGCAGTGCCGGCGTATCCAGATGTGTATCCATCGTGATCAGACGTTCATGCAGCTCTAAAGGATCAATTGTTTGAGGAACTGGTGTGTCAGTTGCAATGTCTGCGCCTGGTTCGTTTACTTCAGGTGCGGGTGGTGAGCACGCTGTCAGGAGTGAAACCAGGCTGAACAAAATGACAACAGTTCGAATGAAAGACATAGACAAAGGTCCTGCAGAATATAGGTGTGACACAAAAGGGTTACTTTGATGATTGATGCCAGTTTTGTCCAGCCTCTCGCTTTTTTGTGCTAGCGCATTAAACATCAGATACGCTTAGCGTTTTTGTAAGAGTAAATTTTTTCATGCAAGGACCTGATTTAAAATCTGCTTCGGGCGAGCTGCTCACGATTGAAAGTCAATTTCGCGGACCGCCACAATCTGGCAACGGTGGGTATGTCAGTGGTGCGGTAGCTGATCTGCTTATTTCCAATCTGGCGCTCGACCCGGATCAGGTAGTGGAAGTGACCCTGCGCGCGCCTATACCGCTGGATAAGCCGATGACTACATTGCTTGATGAAGCGGGCGGACTCAAAGTGCTGGATGGTGAAACGTTGATAGCCGAAGCAAAAAGCACTGAGTTACTCATGGAGGTGCCAGCGGCGCCGGACTATGACGCTGCAGAACAGGCCCGCATGGGTTCAGCCTCGTTTCAGACAGGACTGAACACGCTTATTGCTAACGGGACGGGCTTTCATCCGATTTGTTTCTGTTGCGGTGCGGATGTGGCGGCCAACGAAGGTCTGCATGTTTACGCTGCGCCAGTTGATGGCTATGAAGGGGTCGCAGCTGCATGGCAGCCACCGGAAGTCTTTGCTGATGCCCAGGGTTATCTGTCGACCGCGGTAGTTTGGGCGGCATTGGATTGCCCGGGCCAGTTTGCCTACCTGGCCAGCGGGACCCGCACCGGCATGCTCGGTCGGATGACGGCCAGAATTCTGCGGCCGGTACCTGCGCAGCAGAAATTTGTAGTGACGGGTTGGTGTATTGAGGTGGAGCGCAGTAAACATTTTGCGGGTACCGCGCTGTTTGACGAGGCCGGCGCGCTTTGTGCGTTGAGTAAACAGGTTTGGATAGGCCGCATGGACTAGGTGTTTTACATCCTGACCATACAGGCGGTTTAGTACCGACGGGACTGATATAGTTCTGTCACTCATTTAAGGAGAGAGAAGATGATCGATTTTGAAATTCCTGAAGAGACCAAAGCCATCCGAGCCAAGGTTCGAGGGTTTGTCCAGGAAGAATGTATTCCAGCAGAAGAAAAATGCACCGCAGATAATTTTGAGACTGTGCTGGCTGAGCTGCGGGGCAAAGCCCGTGCGCAGGGGTTGTGGTGTCCCTTCATTCCTGAAGAGTTTGGCGGGATGGGTTTACGGCCGTTGGCCAATGCGCTGGTGCAGATGGAGTTGGGTGAAAGCTTTCTGGGTGCATTGGCCCTCAATACCCAGGGCCCGGATGACGCCACAATGCTGACACTGCTCGAACACGGCACAGATTTCCAGAAGGAGAAATTCCTCAAGCCGCTGCTGGATGGTCAAAAGCGGATTTGTTATTCGATGACTGAGAAAGCAGCGGGTGCTGATGCCACCGGCATGCAGACCACCGCGGTGCTTGATGGCGACAACTGGGTGCTGAACGGCGAGAAGTGGTTCAGTTCTTCTGCCAGCGTAGCTGACATTGCTGTGGTTATGGCCAAAACGGATCCTGATGCGCCGCGCCACGAGCAGTACAGTACGTTTATTGTGGAACTACCCAACCCGGGTTACGAGATCGTGCGGAACATTGAGACGATGCAGCCACATACAGATCTTGGCTTAAAACTAGGTGGCTCTCACTCAGAAATTAAAATCGAGAACCTGGTTGTTCCCAGGGATAATCTGTTAGGTGGACGCGGTCAGGGTTTCAATATGGGTCAGCATCGTCTGGCTTATGGGCGCCTGCGCCATGGTATGCATAACGTTGCGATCGCGCAGCGCGCCCTGGATCTGGCGGCGGGCCATGTTGTGGAACGCAGCACGTTTGGTAAGCGTCTGGCGGATCGCCAGGGTGTGCGCTGGATGCTGGCGGATTGTGCTGCCGAAATTTATAAAGCGCGCCTGATGCTGCTGCACATTGCGTATAAAGCTGAGCGGGGCGAAGATCTGCGCCAGGAGAACGGCATCGCGAAAGTGTTTCTCGCGCACATGGTGCATCAGGTGGTGGACACCGCGCTGCAGTTACATGGTGCGCTGGGCTACAGTCAGGATACACCACTGGCTCGCTGGTACACCGGCATTCGCAGCCAGAGATTGGTAGATGGGCCTGATGAGGTGCATCGATGGCGCACAGGTGCCAACGTCATTAAGGCTTACGAAAAGTACGGTACAACAGCTTCATCCTGTGGTGGTGAACTGCTTTAGTAGTAACAGCTTAATGTAGGAAAAAGCCGGGTATATCCCGGCTTTTGTTTAACTGGTTGCTGTACTCATCATCAGAAAACCAGTGAATGCAGCATTGTTAGGTGACAGTGCGGGGTGGACCTGGCTTTTCATGTCGTTGATCGCTTCTCTGTAGTCTTTGTAGAACTGCCAGGTAGGCCGCGGATGATAAGTGAGGTGGTCCAGTTCGAACTGGCGGATGACGTTTTTTGTGGTGGTCGGTTTTACGAACACCTCCTCCTGGGGATAAAGCTGATACAAGCAGATGGTCATCAAGCTCCATTTTGCCAGCTGGCCATCCAGCAGGATGTCAGCAATCGTCTCAAAACCTTTCTGCTGATTGCCGTGTAACAGCTTGTTAAATCCGTCCGCCAGCAGGGTGCGGTCACTGCGGCTTAAGCCATTCACATAGTCTCGGAACTTTGGTTTTTCGAACATCGATAACATGGAGGAGCGAGAGACAATTTTGGTAATGCTGTCCAGCACGGCAGCCTGTAGTTTGAAATTTTTCCTGGCCAGATTTTCCGCCGCGAACTCGGACAGCTTGCCGACATTGTGGCGTTTGCCTATGTGCTTCAGCCCTTCGTCGTCGAATCCCCCCGGGTAGAGGTTGAAAAATGCGCGCTCAGCCTGCTGTAGTTTTTTCAGATTCATAAGCTCACGTCTAAAGTCAGCATTTACCAGAGAGACCATGTACCTGTGCTAAGCACATAAACTGCAAGCAGCAGATTAGTGATGCTATGTGCAACAATTGCGCTCCAGAGGCTGGTGGATCGGTATCTAACCCAGGCGTAAGCCGCGCCTGCAACGATTCCAGCGAGCCAGGCCTGGTGCAACAGCCCGAATATTACGCTGGATACAATAAGCGCGATCCAGGAAAAAGTCAGCGGTCCTTGCAGACTCAGTTTCTGTCCAGCTAATCGACACAGCAGATAACCGCGAAACACCAATTCTTCGATAATCGGGATAATCAAGACTGATCCAAGAATCCGCACCGCGATCCATGCGACGCTGGAGGTTGTGCTGCTCTGGACAAGCAGGGATCGCATCTCGCTATCTAACTCTGGGTTCGCGGGCACCAGCAGAATCCAGAGTATGAAGACCAGAACACCAACGCCGATAGATTGCAGATCAACTTTTGGCAGCCCAAGCTGGTAAACCGGCCAGCAATACAGTAATGCCGCAGCGCCTGCCGCAACAGGTATCGGGTAAGACCAGTTGATGGCCGGCTGGGTTGAGAACGCGCCGGCGATGAGCGTGGCCAGGAAGACAGCAGCTAAGGGGATCAAGGTGCTGGCACCAAGATTTTCCTTCAAGGGCACAGTTGCAGGCTGTGCGTCCTTGTTTGCTTTTGAAAAAAAACTGATGCGATGGGCCAGATAAAAAAGACCCATGCAGACGAGCAGAAATGATATCCACCCCGCCTGGCTGTGGAATCCGTTTATGGCCATTTCCGGCGAAATTTTTGCCCCGATAATGATCAGGACGCTGATTCTCACAAAGTTAAATATCCAGATGGTGAGAATGCCAATGGGGAATAGGATGAATGCATTCGGAAAGTGTAGTTCTTTGCGAAATATATACAGGTAGAGTGATGTGAAAACGGAGACCATGCCGATACCTTCATAGCCTGAACACGGTTGACCTACCTCGACGATAAAATCTCCTAACCCCAGCAGACGCTGCTGCACGTCAATAAAAACAGAGTTAAAGAACAAAAGCAGAATCTGATGCACCAGTTGAAGAGTCGCATCGCCCAAAGTTTCCCAGAGGTTCCTGGAGAAATAGGCGAAAAGCCATGTTGCTGCGCCGGCGATAAATGAAAGCAGTAACGATGACTTTTCTGCATGGTATATCGATTGCCAAAAGCGTAGTGGTGCAATGCACCAACCGAGAGAAATTGCGGTTGTGAAACCAGCGAGTAACCACGGAATAACCATGATCTGTCGCTGTTCGTCGCTCAGTACGGTCGGCGTTGAGAACAGTAACCCCGAGCAGATATAAAAGAGTGCAAAAACCATCAAGTGGATGGTCAGTTTCAAATAAGGAAAAGAGGTACCTGCGGTTGACTCGGCGAGTAGTTGGTTGTGATGAGGCCAACGCTCGAACGACACGATTATCAGCGCGCCAATGAACACGACCCCAAATTTTGCTAAATCACCAGCAAAAGTGAGTGCAGACAGAACAGTGTCCTGGTTATCTTCAGCTGGACGATAGGAATCAAAACTCAGGCTGACAGCAAGGATTTCAAGGGCCATCAATCCAATGGGAAGGTACCATTGAATATAGCTATTCGGATTTGCAGATGCGGCGGTCACGGATAAGTGCCGCCGCTAAAGGACAGGTTCCGCTCCACAGGAAGTTGGAGACGGCCGCTCTTTTTGAGCGAGTAATCTATGACTTGGTTTTGCGTCTTTCCCGCATCACGCCAATGAACAGTCCAAGTAAGGCGAGAGACAAACCAGCACCGGCGGCATTCAGCTCAGGTACGCTGCTGACACTGGGGCGATCTGGCTGCGATGGTCTTACAGGACGTATATTGTGACCACAAACATTGTTGTGTTGGTGCCGTGTAATACGCCAGAACACACGATAACCGAACCAATATGAGCTGTTCACGCTGTTCTGATAGCTGGGACCCCAACGGTCGGACGGCGCTTCAGCGGCCTGTACAGACAAACTCAAAGCAATTGCCAAGGCGATTGCGCTAAGCTTTTTTACAATTTTCAAAGACTGACCCTCTAATGTTTTGTGACTACTCTTCGTTTTTCTCGAAACGACAAGAAGCTTTCTCCTAACAGTGGCATTTATACATGTGTGTGACCGATCTGTGAAGTGGTCGATTGTTGTGGATATGTAAAATCTGCTGATAACAGCAGTATCTGTCGTGTTCAGGGCGAATATGCCAGTCCTTGATACTAATTAAGCTAGAATCTTCGAATGAATGAAAGTAGCCACCCACCCCAAGCAACAGATGCGCCAGACGGTATCGTTTCACTGTTTACCCTGGACGGCACGGGGGGTGGCAGTCAGCTGCATGAACTGCCGGCGCAGTTGCCACTGCCTTTCTGGTTGCACGTGCAGAGCGATCATGCCGCCTGTGCCAGATTGCTGCGGACCCTGGGTGCCAGCCCATTGCTGAGCCAGAGTATGACAACGTCAGAGACCCGACCCAGGGTGCTGGTCGACACCAGCGGTGTGTTGATTGTCCTGCGGGGCGTCAACATGGGTATCGATGCTGATCCTGAAGATATGGTTTCTCTGCGCATCTGGTTAACCCCGGAATTTGTGGTAACGGCCCGTAAAAGCGAGCGCCGCCTCCTGTCTGTGCAGGACGTTCAAGCCCAGGTTCAAGCCGGCACCGGCCCGCAAACGCCCCACGACCTTGTTGTGGCTCTGGTGACCCTGCTGGCGGAACGTATAGGCAATGTGGTGAATGAAACTGAAGAAGCGCTGACAGATATAGAAGCAAACCTGGAACAGCTGGCCCCGAGTGAGGTGCGCCCAGCGTTGACGCAGCTGCGTCGGCGCGCTGCCCGTTTGAAACGCTATCTCGCGCCGCAACGTGACGCTTTAGAAGGTCTGAATCGTTTGCAGAACGTCCTGAATGACGCGCAGTCACAGCAACTGCGAGAACAATCGGATCGAACCACGCGTTATGTGGAGGATCTTGAGCTGGCTCGTGAATTGGCCATTCTGCTGCAGGAAGAGCTGCGTAATCGGGTTGCAGAACAGCAGAATGCGCGCATGTACGTGTTGTCGCTGGTTGCAGCGATTTTTCTACCTCTGTCGTTCCTGACTGGCGTGTTTGGTATGAATGTCCTGGGTCTGCCCGGGGTGGAAAATCCTCGAGGCTTTATCTACGTGTCTGCAGGCATGATCCTGCTGGGTGTGGGGGTGGCCATCTGGATGTGGAGACGCAGGTGGCTTTAGTGTGGCAAAAGGTGCTTTTTTTATGAGCGTGGCCGATGTTACAGGCTTTCTCAACACAGAGATTCTAAGTATTTCCGGGCAGGCTCTAACCGTAGGTCAGGTCCTCATTTTGCCGTTGATTGTCGTCCTTGGTCTGTTGATCATGAGTTGGGTTGCTGGATTGATCCGACGACGTATGTCAGCAAATCAGGTTAATCCTGATGTCATCCAGCTGGTCAGTCGGGTGTTTTATGTGGTGGCAATCGCCATTCTGGTGATGACCAGTCTCGACCTGCTCAACGTTCCCCTTACAGCGTTTGCCTTTGTCTCTGGTGCTGTGGCGATCGGGGTAGGTTTTGGTGCCCAGAACATCATCAACAATTTCATCAGCGGCTGGATTCTGATGTGGGAGCGACCCATTAAGATCAATGATTTTCTGGAAATCGGCGATACCCGCGGCCGGGTTGAATCTATCAATACACGCTCCACCCGCATCCGTCGTGTGGACGGCGTGCATCTGCTGATTCCGAACAGCTATCTGTTGGAAAATATAGTGGTTAACTGGACGCTTGTGGATCAGCTCGCGCGAACCCAGGTCCGGGTAGGCGTTGCCTACGGCTCACCGGTTAAGACAGTCAAGGCGCTCATGGAACAGGCGGTGCAGGAGCAGGCGGCCGTTCTGGAAGAGCCCGCACCTCTGATTGTGTTTGAAGACTTCGGTGACAATGCATTGATTTTTGATGCCTATTTCTGGGTGCACGCATCTGCAGATAGAGACTTACGCGTTATTCGCAGCGATATCCGCTTCCGTGTGGATGAGTTGTTTGCTGATAATGATGTTGTGATCGCCTTTCCTCAGCGAGATGTTCACCTCGATGGCCAGATTACCCTGCGCAAGGCGGACCAGATCAGTGATAACTTGTCCTCATTATCAGTGAGTTAGAGCCGATATAGTACAAGCCAGGTGAGCAATAAAGATCTGGTCAGTTGAGAAACCTCCTTTTTATAGCCGTCCTGTCGGCAGTGGCGTTCTGGTACTTTGACCAGGATCCATCTGTTGCGATCGTGCAGGAGGGTGAACTGGTGTATCCCGGTTATCAGATCAGGCATCTGGAACCCTTTGCGCTGGAGGCCAGGATACTGTCGCGCAAAGATTATCACTCAGGCCGCGAAGCCGACTTGTCGAAGACCGATCTGGCGCTGGGTTGGGGTGAAATGTCGGAACCGGAAGTCATCGCTCATTTTGACATCAAGCAGCGCAATCGCGCCTATTTCTGGCGTACCGAAAAGTTACCGCTACCCCGTAGGAATATTGAAACCCAGAGTGCCAACATGCACATGATCGCGGCGACGCCTGACGTTGCAGCCGCTCTGGCGCGCACGGCCGAGGGCGATATGGTTCGATTTTCCGGCCAGTTAGTAGAGGTTCGAGCCCAGGACAGCAATTGGCGCTGGCGCAGTTCCCTCACTCGAAATGATACCGGCCACGGTGCCTGCGAGGTGATCTGGGTAGAGTCATTTTCCCTGATTTAGGGTGACAGGCTTGTGGTGGGCGTGGCTTGTGGGAAACGTTTCATAACCCGCTTTCGAGCTATGAAACGTATATTAAATCAAAAGGTTATGAGATCTTTAGAACTTCCAGCCTAAACCGATCATGTAGACGAAGGGGTCAATTTCCACTTCGGTGGTTATGCGGTTGGCTGCAAATTCGAACTCGGCGTCGGTGTCGATGTCGATCCACCAGATGCCGGCGTTAAAGTACATGTTCTCAGTCAGTTTGTAGTCGAAGCCAGCCTGGACGGCGAGTCCGAAAGACGGGTCCAACTCAAGTGAGCCTCTACCTAACACGCCCTCCAGCTGAGAATCGACTTCTTCGTCGAAGAACAGTGTGTAGTTCAAACCCGCGCCAAAGTAGGGTTGGAACTTGCTGTCGGATGCAGCAGGGAAGTACAGCAGGGAGACGGTGGGTGGCAAGTGTGTGGTTTTACCCGCATCAATGGTACCCAGGCCCAGATCGCCTGTAGAGGCGCTGATGTCGTGGGTGAACGGTGTTGAGGCAAGCACGTCAACTGCCCAGTCGTTGGTCAGCATGTAGGTGAAGGTCAGGCCAAGCTGGGTGTCATCGTCAACGTCAGCTGAAGATCGACCGATTGCTGATCCGTCCAGGATCAGAGCAGAGCTGCTGGCGTCGGGAGAGACGTTGGCGATACCGCCGCGAATGATGAAGTCACCGGCTTCGTGAGCCTGGGTCTGAACCGTTGTGCCCAGCATCGCAAGGGTGGCTAAAGTCAGAATTACGCGCATATTAAAATCTCCAGAAGTTGGATATCAAAGTTAAAAAACGGGGATCTAAGCGCCCTGGGATGCAGGGCGCGTACAAGCGGCAGTTGCTGCCGGAGTGTTAGCTGGCGGGCACGTCCATGAAGGTGACTTCGCCACTTGTCAGGTCATACATCGCGCCGACGACCATGATCTTGCCCGAGTTTTCCAGCGCGGCGATGACCGGGCTACGCTCACGGATGTCTTTAACGGTTTTGATCACATTTTCTTCGGCAATTTCATCCATGTGTGGTGCTGCGCAGACGTCTTTGCCTGGGTTTTTTGCTTTCACCAGGTCAACAGCAGGTGTGATTTCGGTGAGGAGCTGTGTCAGATTGCCCAGTTTGGCATTGGCACATGCGCCGCCCACTGCGCCACAAGAGGTATGACCCATGACAACAATCAGCTTGGTGCCACTGAGTTCAGTGGCAAACTCGAAGCTGCCCAGCATGTGGTTGTCTTCGATATTACCTGCCACGCGGCCGACAAAAACGTCACCAATGCCCTGGTCGAAAACAATTTCGGGTGGGATGCGAGAGTCCAGACACGACAGGATGGTGGCGTAGGGCTGCTGGCCCGAGCTGGTTTTCGCGATTTGCTTCTCGAAATCCTGGTTAATGACATCGCCAGTCACGAAACGCTCATTGCCGGATTTCAGGGCGTCCAGGGCCTGCTGGGGCGTGGTGATTTTTGATTCATCCACTTCAAAAGCCATAGCTGAGCTCATCACAAAAAGAGTTAGGAGCGAAACAAGGGTTTTCATACAGTCTTCCAGTTGTTGTAATTTTCCAATGGCGCGCACTCTAGAGACATTCGATGCGTGCAACCATTCGCAATTAGTTTTGTAATGCATCGGCAATCTTGAACTCCTCTTTGAAGACCCTGATAGCAGAGCGGGTGGCTTGCTGATAGCGTGGCGCAACGAAGTTGAGCAGGTGGTGATGTTGAAGTTAGTTCTGGCTGGTTTTTTGTTCCTGCAATGCGTCTCCCTGCAGGCGCAGACGATCCCTGAATCTCCGGTGGTGGTGCGCGTGGCCAGCTTTAACGCCTATATGAACCGCCCGCACGAGGGTCAACTGGCGGCGGAACTGGCTGATGCAGAAAGCCACTCAGCCAATCAGCAGGTGCGTGCGGTGGCCGAGATTATTCAGCGCATCCGCCCTGACGTGATTCTCCTCAATGAATTTGATTTTGACGCTGAAGGGTCAGCGCTCATGTCCTTCCAGCAACATTTTCTGGGCGTCAGCCATAACCAACTGCCGCCTGTTTTTTACCCGTATAGTTTTCACGCGCCCAGTAATACCGGCGCCGATTCGGGGTTGGATCTCGATGGTGATGGCAAGCCAGGTGGGCCCGGTGATGCGTTTGGCTTTGGCGCTTTCCCTGGTCAGTACGGCATGGTGATATTGTCGAAATACCCGATTATAGAAAGCCAGATACGCACCTTCAGGCATTTCCTCTGGCGTGATATGCCAGGCGCGCTGCTGCCGGATAATCTCAACACGGCAGCGCCATCAGACTTCTATACACCAGCGCAACTTCAGGTATTCAGGCTGTCTTCAAAAAGTCATTGGGATGTGCCTGTTCAGGTAGATTCAAACATCATCCACATGCTGGCAGCCCATCCGACACCGCCGGTGTTTGATGGGCCTGAAGATCGTAATGGTGCACGCAATCATGATGAGATACGTCTGTGGGCAGATTATGTAGGCCCGCCTCATGCATCCAGGTACATCATTGATGATCAGGGGCGCGCTGGCGGGTTAGGGCAACAGAGATTTGTTGTGCTTGGCGATTACAATGCGGATCCTGTGGATGGTGATTCTCGACAGAGCGCGATTCATCAATTGTTAAATCACCCCGCAATAAACGCCGAATGGGTGCCCGCAAGTGTCGGGGGTGTAGAGGATGCAGAGGCGGAGGGAATGGCAAATGCTGCGCACACAGGCGCTGCTCGATTTGATACCGCAGATCTGAACCCAAACGGCCCGGGTAACTTACGTATCGATTATGTGCTGCCCTCCCGCTATGGCCTGACACCTGTTGATGGTGGGGTGTTCTGGCCGACTGTGCGGGATCCTGCGCGTTATCTGGTGGGGGATGGCTTTCCCGTTGTGTCATCCGATCATCGCCTGGTCTGGCTGGATCTGGAAGTACGCGCTGAGGCTCAGGTTACGCCGTAAGCCAGGTCAACAATTTCTGCGCAAACGGATTTTCCAGCGCGGGTGCAAAGCTGGTCTGCTGAGGGTCTACTTTCTGCAGTCTTAAAACGTCATTGCCCTGATGCCCCGGCAGCCAACCACAGAAGAAATATCCTTCCTGCAAAGCTGCGTCTACCGCCATGTTAATTGCCGGGCTATCCATGAGGATGTCGATTTGTTGGCAGGCATTACGAGTCTGGCCCTGCTGTTTGATGACCTTAGTGATGTCGGCGCCAACGCAGGATACTGTCAAGCGCGCCAGATCGCGCCGAGGATAGACAGCGTTTTGCGTCTGGCTGGATTGCGCAAGATCAGATGTGTTGGCAGTCTGCCAGTTGCGTTGCAGACCCGTTGCCGCGCAGGCTTCCTGGATAAAGTCAGCGCCGTAAGCAGGCAGATAGCAGGTGAATTCAGGTGATGACTGATCGTTTTGAGCGCTCACAGGTTCATAGACAATGGTGGCGGCTTCGCGTCCGGAGTTTTTGCGGGCACTGACTTTGCCATCCGTTTCTGCCGGTATGTAACCCAGCATCAAACCGACTTCAAAACCATTTTTCACAGACTGGCGCTGCATGATGTGGTGGGCGGCGGTAGGGTAGTGTATGAAACCCTGATAGCCGAGCTCGGCACACCAGCCTGTGAGTTCAGCGCCGATCTGCCACGCCAGGCCTGAACCGCGCATGTCCGGGTCAACAACCGTGTTACCTAGCTCTGGAGACAGCCTGGGGTCGGCTATAGTCATGGCCATATGGCCAACAATCTGACGCCGTTCATTTACCGCGCCGACGCTGCGTAAGGAACCTTCTTCGAGCTTGCGTGCCATCCGCTGGCTATCGTAGAACAGATCTTCAGCGTAGGTGTCACCGTAGACGCGCTGAAAACAGGCAACAACGGCGGTTGCGTATGCAGGTGTCAGACGTTGAATGGTGAACTTCATAAGCTTCCCATTGCCTGTGACGGGCTAAAACGACGGGCTGGCGGCGGCTTTGATAGCGGCCCATTGTGAGTCGAAAGCTGCAGTGGAAGCGGGAGGCTCTGCAGGCGCAGTTTCGAGCAGGCTGGCTACGGTAGTGACGTTTTCCGGGTGGCCTTTGGGGAATTGCACATCTGCAGTGAACACAACAAAAGACTCTATGGGAACGGTGGGCGCCAGCACTTTTACTGCACTGACACGGTCAGCCAGTGCAGGTATCGGATTGCGGAAGTTTATCCGCGCACCGTTGTGCGTTGCGCTCCAGGTATCCATGCGATCACCGGCAAATACGTTGCCGGCAGCGTCTATGGTGTCGAGCAGCAACAGTCCGCGATGGGTGAGGAGTAAGTGATCTATGTATATTTCACCCTGGTTACCGTCGCTGATAACAATGTTAATCAGTGCGTCATGTGCCAGATTGCGTACCAGCGGTTGTAATCCTCGAGCATTTGCGCGACGTCTTTTTACAATAATCGCGACAAGCACCCCGATAACAATCAGCGTCATCAGAGCTGCCAGGGCCATCATGTAAGGTGTCTCAGTCACGAGCTGTCCTTGCTCTGTGTCGAATTGCTAAATGACTCAGGCGAGGGCCTGAGTCAGATCGCCGATGATATCGTCCGGGTGCTCGATTCCCACGCAAAGCCGAATCATGCCCGCCGTCACACCGGCTTTGGCCTGTTCATCTTCGCTCATCTGGCGGTGTGTGGTGGAAGCCGGGTGGCACGCGAGAGATTTGGCATCACCGATGTTAACCAGACGTTTGAAAAGCTCGAGACGATCGTAAAAAGTTACCGCGGCATCGAAGCCACCTTTAATTTCGAAGGTCAGCAGGGATGCAGGTTTACCATTGCAGTATTTCTGCGCGAGGCTGTGGTACGGATCGTCCGGCAGTCCTGCAAAGTTCACCTTCGAAACCTTGTCGTGATCCTGCAGGTAGTGGGCAACGCGCAACGCATTGTCACAATGGCGTTCCATACGCAGTGCCAGAGTTTCTAACCCCTGCAGAATCAGGAAGGAATTAAACGGTGAAATTGCAGCGCCTGTGTTGCGCAACGGTACTGTTCGTGCGCGACCAATATAAGCTGCTGGCCCCATGGCTTCGGTATAGACAACACCGTGATAAGACGGTTCGGGCTTGTTCAGCATGGGAAACTTCTCGGCATGCTCTGCCCATGGGAATTGACCTGAGTCAACAATAACGCCGCCCAGGGAATTGCCATGTCCGCCCATGTATTTGGTCATTGAGTGCACAACGATATCTGCGCCATAAGAGAACGGTTTGATCAGCATGGGCGTTGCAACGGTATTGTCTACGATCAGCGGAACGCCGCGGGCGTGTGCGACGGCAGCGATGCTTTCGATGTCGACAATATTGCCTGCCGGATTGCCAATGGTCTCGCAGAACACAGCCTGGGTTTTATCGTCAATCAACGCAGCAATATCATCAGCGCTGTCGCTTTTTGCGAAACGCACTTCGATACCCTGTTTGGGTAACATGTGGGCGAACAGAGTATAGGTGCCGCCATAAAGTTGCGGAGTGGCAACAATGTTGTGGCCTACTTCTGCAATGTTCAGAATGGCATAGTTGATTGCTGCGCTTCCCGCGCTGACGCATAGCGCACCCACGCCGCCTTCCAGGTCCGCGACTCTTTTTTCGAGTACGTCGGTGGTGGGGTTCATGATGCGGGTATAAATATTCCCGGGTACAGCCAGGTCGAATAAATCAGCGCCGTGTTGCGCGCTTTCGAATTCATACGCAACGGTCTGATAAATAGGGGTGGCAACTGATCGTGTTGTGGGATCGGTAACATAACCCGAGTGAATCAGTTTGGTATCGTCATGCATGACTGGCCTCTTGCAGCTGTTGGATTAAAAAGCGAATTTCCGTGGCCGCAGACTATACCTTGTTTTGGGGTTTGCGCTGAACAGCAATCAATACCCAATGGCACAGGGTATGCAACCCATGCAATCGTCGCGTTCCGTTACCAATCGTGCCAGAATTTGCGCTTCAAGAATTGTGACGGATTGGCTGTGATGGGTGAAAGCCTGAGAGATCAACTGGTTAAAGCGGGTTTGGCAAGCAGTGCTGAAGCTAAAAAAGCGGAACGGCAGCAACGCAAGCAGCAGCTTGATAAGAAACGGGGTAAAACGCCTGTTGACCAGCCCGACGTAAAAGCCAAGGTGCAGCGTGCCAAAAAAGACAAAGCGACCAAAGATCGTGCTCTGGCTCGTGAACGAAACGATAAATACGCGGCGCGGGCACTACGTGCTGAAATCAAGCAGATGATTCTGCAGCATGATCAGCGTGCTAAAAAAACCAATGACGATGATGTGCCCTACAACTTTGTGCATGGCAAACGCATCAAACGTATTTACCTGCCGGAAGCACAGAAAGCACAATTGATCAGCGGCTCGCTGGTTGTTGTCAACAATGATGGTTTGTACCATTTCGTCAGCAAAGACATTGCAGAACGGATTGCGAAGCGAGACCCGAAACGGATCATTGTTGCTAACGATCAGAAGACGTCCGAACCTACCGAAGATGATGAGTACTACGCAAAATTTGCGGTACCAGACGATCTCGACTGGTAGCTGTTTTTCTTACTGCGTTCAGCCTTCTATTTATCCGCGGCACCTACTTCATTAGATGCATCACGCGCGGCGATGGCCGTGCGTATTTCTGCGTGGCGCACCCGGTCTATGCCGTAGCGCAGATAAAGCAGGACGCCGCAAATAGACAGCAGGCTTGTTGCGGGGCCCTCCATAAAGCCTAACCACCATAAGGTCTCTTCTGGCACGGTGCCGGCGATGGCGCCCCGAGGGAATGCAATCACATCTAAAACCACACCACCAAGCAACGCGCCCATCGCGCTTGTTATTTTTGCAGCAAAAGAACGGGAGGCATAAATCACGCCTTCCCGTCTGACCCCGGTTTCGAGTTCAACTTCATCTGAGATATCGGCAAACATGGAGTTGAAGCTGGCGAAGATCACCGGCAGGCAGATACCTTGCAAAAGATACCGCAGGAAATAAATCCAGTAGATCCAGGGTGAATCGTTGTCAGGAAACCATGAGACGTCTAACAGGCGCATGCACAAGGCTGCATTGGCGTTGATTACCACAAACACCGCAGGCAGAACCAGCGCCAGGCGTTTATCCAGCAGACGCGTGAACCAGGGTGCCAGCGGCAGGCCAATCCATAAACCGATCAAAGTACCAAATGAGATGGTCGCCAGACTTTCTGTGGTCAATCCCCAGAAATGAACACCCATAAACGGGCTGAGAATGCTTTCTACAGCGATAGCAAACGTAGACAGCAACATGCCAAATAAAATCAGCCGGTAAGAGCGGTTGCCAAACACCGCCTTAAAATCCATAAAACTGTTCTTAAAGGTCAGGGCGGTGGTGACTCGATTTACCCGCATGTGTTTGATTTCGCTGCCCGTGCCGAACACACACAGCATGATGGCGACAAACATCATGCCCGCAAAGAACATTGAAAAGGGTGCATATCCAGCAGGGTTGAGGGTGCCGGGGCTGTACAGCTCGGTGGTGGGAAAGAAGTAGCGATAGCCGACAAAAGACACCACAGCCATGGCGGTGATTGAAAACACGGTACTCAGGGCAAACAGCGTGGAACGCTGGTTATAGTCCTGCGCCAGCTCCGCGCCAAGGGCCAGATGTGGCACATAAAAAAAGGTCAGGGAGCCGCGCACCAGAACGGCAAACCCCGTCAACCACAGAAAGTGGCCCATGTCACTTAAGGTGTCCGGTGGGGAGAACAGGGCGATAAAACAGATCACCAGTGGGAAGGCTGAAACAAACATGAACGGATGGCGCCGTCCCCAGCGCGACTGCATGCGATCGCTGACAATCCCCGCTAACGGGTCGGTAATGGCGTCAAAAATCATGGCAATGCTGAGGGCAAGTCCGGCCATGGTGCCAGGTATGCCTATTACCTGCTGATAGTAGAACAGCAGGAAAACGTTAAAGGCCTGGTTTTTAACCCCTTCTGCAATCTGGCCCACGCCAAATGAAAACATGGTGGGCAAACTCAGTTTACGGCTCAATTAGGGAGTGCCTCCTGCAGGGAAAGGTTGCGAAGCTGCAACGTGAAAGGGCCATGCTGGCCGTGGCTGATCATCAGGTTAAAACCGGTGATATCCAGGGCTTCTAAAGGCGCGGCATCCGCAACAATGCGCCCGCGGCGTTTTGCGACAAGCTGAGCCAGTGGGAAGCTGAAAGTCTGCCACTGGGTTGGGCTGTCTACATCGACCCAGTAGTTCAGATTCGCCCGCGTTTGCACCCCCAGCTGGTAGCGTTGGCCGTCACCCTGGATTTCAATTGCAATGGTAGGCTTGATCAGGTTGATGAACGCCTGGGCTAAACTGGGCTCAGGTTCAGTGCGGATAGATGCAAAGCCGCCGCCATTGGTATTCACAAAACCGCTGAATGTCAGATTTGCGCTCTGCCATGAAAAAGTGCTGGTTGACTGCCCACCCATTACATCGTCATTGAACTGCTGCCACTGAAGTTTGTGATGCAGGTGATTCAATTCCGGTGTTGCTGCGGTCGGCAGTTTCAACGCTGCGCAGCTCTGATCAGTGCAAAAAGCTGTCGTCTAAACGCTGCATTTTTCTTTTCACCGCGTCCCAGGCCAGCGGACCGATACGACCGTCGAACAATCCTTTGCTCTGGTTCGCGGCCTTTTCTGCTGAGCCTTGTGGTGGCTGACAGATGGCTGTGCCGCCGCTCAGCGCACGAACCTGCATGGTGCAGGCACGCTCCAGATAGTACATGGCCATATAAGCGTCTGCGCAGGACTGGCCCACGGTAAGTGTGCCGTGGTTGCGCAGCAGCATGCACTGGCGTGTGCCCAGGTCGGCGACTATACGTGCGCGCTCGTCCAGATCCAGGGCCACACCTTCGTAGTCATGATAGGCAATCTCACCCAGTTGCATGGCATGCTGGGTAATGGGTAACAGTCCAGATTCCTGAGCCGATACGGCAACGCCGTCGTCAGTGTGCAGATGCATGACACAATGTGCATCGTCACGTGCCATGTGCACCGCCGAATGAATGGTGAAGCCCGCTGGATTGACGTCATAAGGTGTATCCATGACCTTGTTGCCGTCCACGTCCACCTTGACCAGGCTCGAAGCGGTGATTTCTTCGAAGTACAAACCCAGTGGATTCAGCAGGAAATGATGTTCAGGTCCGGGGATACGCACCGACAGGTGGGTAAACAGAAAATCGTCCCACCCGTGATGGGCAACAACACGATACAAACAGGCAAGGTCCTGGCGGATCGACCACTCTGCCTCACTCACCTGTCCGGCGACGGATTTAATCTCGGCGATGCCTGCGGTTGATTCTGCCATTTTGTCTTCCCCTGCTAAATCGTGTACCTGAGTCTATGCGACCTGGCTGTCCAGGAGAAGCGCGATTGGCAATGTTCGAATCCATTCGCCGGTCATGTGCTGTAACGCGGCGGTCAGTGCTGGCGCGACGCCGGGCAGGCTGGCCTCGCCAACGCCGCTGGGGTACGCGGTACTGGGCACAATTTCAACGTCGATGTCCGGCGCCTCGTTCATGCGCAGCAGCGGGTAGTTGTGGAAATTGCTCTGTACCACCGCGTTGTCTGCAACAGTAATCTGGCCATGTAGTGCCGCAGATAATCCGTCAACGATGCCACTTTCTATCTGCGCCGCAACGCTGTCGGTATTCACTGCAATGCCACAATCGATCACACACCAGACTTTCTCTACCTTCAGGGACGACAGGCCCTGTCCGCTCACTTCAACAACCATGGCTACCTGGGTAGAGCCGAAGTTGTGTGTCGCCACACCCAGATGTCGAGGTCCGGGCTGCCAGTCAGATAAGTCTGCAACTTTTTGCAGGCAATTTGTCATGCGCGGGTTGTCACTCAGCAACTGCAGGCGATATTCGATTGGGTCGATATTGGCCTGCGCGGCGAGCTCATTGACAAACGATTCAACGGCAAACGTGTTGTAGGAGTAACCCACCGAGCGCCAGATCTGTAGCGGTAGCGGCGCAAGAACTGAAGACCAACCCAGGCTGGTATGCGCAAAATTGTAAGGTAAATCGGCTGAACCCATACGCGCAGTGAAAGGCATGGTGTTGTCCCGGTGCTCACCGGCCTGGGCGGAGACCAGCTGATGAGACCAATTCATCACTTTTGCGGAAACAGGGTCAATCCAGGCCGTGAGCTGGTGTGCAGCAGCGTCCCTGTAGCTGGCATGACCAATGTCATCTTCCCGGGACCAGAATACCTGTACCGGCTGATCTATTTGCGTCGCAAGCTCAACGGTTTCACGGACAAAATCATCAGCGGCGCGGCGACCGAAGCCACCGCCGAGTTGCGTCACATTGATGCGTACCTGGTCGATGTGCAGGCCGCTGATCGCGGCGGCGGTGCGTCTTGCGCCTTCCGGCGCCTGGGTGGGCGCCCACACCTCACAAAAGTTATTGGTCACGTGTGCAGTACAGTTCATGGGCTCCATACAGGCGTGGGCAAGATAAGGCACTTCATAGCGTGTCGAATATTGCTGCAGCTGTGTGGTGTCAAGGGGTTCGCTGCCGGAGTTTTCAACAAACTGGCTGGGTTGGTCTAACGCAGCTTTTAATCTGTGGCTGATTTGCCTGCTGGAAATGGCGTCAGCGGGTACTGGTGACCATGTTGTCTGTAACGCCTGCCGGCCCTGCAGGGCGGCATAACTGCTCTGCGCAACAATGGCGATGCCGGTGGAGATCTGTTTAACATCAACAACACCTTTCACGCGGCGTGATTGCGTATCGTTGAAAGACACCAACTCAGCGCCGAAGTGGGGTGGGCGTGAGACAACTGCGTACAGCATATCGGGCACACGAACGTCCAAACCATACACAGCCTGGCCGGTGACTTTGTCACGCAGGTCTAGTCGAGGCAGCGGCGTGCCTATGAGTTTAAAGTCGGCGGGTTGTTTCAGTGTCGGTCGCACGGGTGCCCACTGGCGGGCTGCAAGCTCTGCAACATCGCCAAAGGTACGACTCTGCCCGCTGGGTGTATGTGTAATAGTGCTGTCTGCCACCAGACAATCTTTTTCAGAGACAGACATATCTTCGGCAGCCGCACTGAGCAACATGGCGCGTGCCGTAGCACCTGCTCGCCTGAACATGTGGAATTCGCCGGCGATGCTTGAACTGGCCGCGGTAAACAATTGGCCGTAATCTACTTCTGCACTGGCCACTGCCTGTTCAATGGTGATGTCGCGCCAGTCTGCGTCGAGCTCTTCAGCTACCAGCATGGGCAAACCGGTGCTGATACCCTGGCCCATTTCCGAGCGGGTGACCCAGACAACAATCTTGCCTGCCGTGTTGATGGAGAGGTAAGCACTGGGTGCAAAGACGGCATCCCTGGCAACCGGTTTGCGGTGACGCATATCGCTAATACGATCCATCACCAGCCATAAACCTCCGCTACCCGCCACCGCTGCTGTTCCAGTGGCGCCGATCAGCAGTTGTCGGCGGGTTACTTTAGATATAGGCATAGCAGAGCAGTTAGTTATAAAAGGTTGATTAACGTATCTCGGGTCTGTTCGTACTCATCACGTGATAAGCAGAATTCTGAGGCTGCAAAGTCTGTGACACCGGCTTCAGCCATCGCTGCGATGCCATCTGCTACCGCTGATTTGCTGCCGACAATGGCAAGCTCGGCAGGTCCGGCAACCCCCTCTCGCGCAAACATCGCCTGATAAGACGGAAGCTTGCTGTACATCGTCAGGTTTTTGCCAATGACCTCGCGCACCGCTGCCTCGTTTTCGGTCACACACACGGGTAGCGTTGCAATGATTCTGGGGCTGGGCCGGTTGGCTTGCCCGGCAGCGTCTTCAATGCGCGGCTTGATATGTTCTTTGACAGTTTTCGGTCCAACCCAGGCCAGCGTCGTGCCATCTGCGAGACGCCCGGCAACGCCCAGCGCCTGCGGTCCCAGGGCTGCAACAACAACAGGGGTTTTCTCAACAGGGGACTTAAACACAGTGGCCTGACAACTCAATACCTCGCCTTCGAAGTCTACTGTGCCTTCGCGTAGCAGGGGCATGAGAATGCTCAGATATTCCCGTAGATGGCGGATGGGTTTTTCGAAGCTGATACCCAGGTCAGCCATCATCGAAGCGTGGGACAGGCCAATGCCCAGGGTCAGTCGATGGCTGACAACATCTGCAGTGGTGAGGGTCTGATTAGCCAATGTCAGCGGGTGGCGTGGGAACGTGGGCACAACCGCTGTGCCCAGTTCTATGGATTTCACATGCTGGCCAACAATCGCCAGTACCGTCAGTGCATCCAGCCCTCCGGTAGGATGCTCTGCCAGCCAGTAACTGCTGAAGCCATCCGCCGCTGCCTGACTGGCATGGGCGGTGATTTTGCTGACGTCTGCCTGCTGTACCAGGCCTGTTCCGTTAATACCAAATTGCATATCTGTTGTGTCCCTTAAAGTTCTAGTTTGACCAGAAAGAAGGGTAGAGCACCACATCAATGCGTCTGTTTTTAGAACGGCCGTCCGGTGTCTCATTGTTGGCTATAGGCTTGGTTTCACCGTAGCCTACCGAGGAAAGCTGATTGGGTGAGATGGCCACCCGTTCAAGAAGATAGGCGGCCACGGATTCCGCTCGTTTCACCGATAACGTCATGTTTCCAGCATCAGCGCCATATGAATCGGTATGTCCTTCGATGGTGATGGGCGTTTCAGGAAACTCGCTGATGGCGTTAATGAGCTTGGCCAGAATCGCCTCGTGCTGCGGTTCAAGTTCTGCGCTGCCGAAGGTGAAGTTGAGCCCAACCAGACGGATGATCAGACGATTCTCCGCGCGTACAACCTCTGCATCTGCTTTAGTGAATAAACCTTCAACCCGCGCCACGGTCTGCTCCTGCTGCGCCTGTAACGCAATCCTGCGGTCCAGCCGTGCCTTGGCTTCTTCGCGGTTTTCCAGTTCGGCCTGGGTGCTGGCCAGTTCATCTTCCAGCAGGCGAATGCTTTGTCTTGCAGAACCAAGATCCTGAGCTAACAAGGTCGCACGATTGTTACGCTCCTCTATCGCAGCGACAATCAATTCAATGGTGGCCGCCGGACCGTTGTCGAAGTACATCGGTACGTCAACGGTGTCTCCCAGGGGTTGTAAGACATCCTGCCATTCGAGAAGAATCGCTTCTAACGTTGTGTCATTGTCATCTATGTCGTCAGCCAGGCGCGAGACGTACTGTGCGTACAGTGCGTTGTGCATGGCCTGCTTGGCCAGGTTGCGTGGCTGATCGGTATCGTAGCGATTTCCCGCCAACGTACTGCGGGCCAGCGCGAGCAGATCTATGGCCTTCTGATAAGACGTTTCCGCCCAATCGTCGGCATCGAGCTTTTTGGCTTTGGCAATCTCAGCCTCGATTTCAGTAAACAGGACGGTTTCGATGGCCTCCAGTTCAGCATCACGATAGAGCGTTTCAGCTTTGTCGGCATATTGCCCGACTCTTGACTCGCGTCCTTTTTCGGCCCGGGAAGCCGCCTCGTAGAGCTGCACTTCCGCTTCTTCCCATAACTTCGGGGCGCGTTTTTTTGCGTCAGCTGCTAATGCGTCGCTACGAGCCTGGAAGGCGGCGCTGACAAAATTTTCGACGGTAGGTGCCATGGTGGCGGCCTGAAGAAACTCTTTGTTGGCTTCCTCAAGAATGCTGGATACGCGATCGACGTCGGCGCCGCTCTCAAACGCCTCTTCAGCGCGAATGTACGCCCGGCTGGCTTTCCGATAGGTCTCCGGCGTCAGAACCGCAGCATTGACCGCGTTTGCCTGGCGCAGAGCCTCAACGCTGTCGGCGAAAACCTGCTTGCGCAGGGCTTCTCGCAGGCTGTTGTCTTCAGCACCCAATGCAGGCGCGGCAAAGGCCATAAGCAGCGAAAAATACAAGGCAGTGAGTGGGGAAGGTGAATATTTCATGTCGAGTCCGTTTAACAAAAAGGGATTTGGTGGGTGCAACTGGTGCAGTGTACCGGAAATTATTTACAACTACGGAGGATCAGCGGGAGATAAAATCGGGCAAGTGCGTTGCTAGATGGAAGAAGTACTGAGAGAATATGGAAAAAATCTGGAGACGTGTCATTAATCTTTAAAGATTGGTATGCATAGTCATCAGAATAATAAAACCTGAGTCGTACTTGGCTCGCTTGTATTCAAATGGAGAAATTGATGAACGGTAATGTCCCCAGGATAGCTGCCTGGACAAGTCGGCTAGGGCTGTTTTTTGCCTTTGTCGCACTGTCTTTAACTGCAGGAGTGGCCAGTGCGCTGGAAACTTCGTCCGCGGTACGCGGCGTTGTATCTGACCAGCGTGGTAACCCGGTTGCTGGTGCAACGGTTACGGTCCGCAACGAAACCACATCGCTGACGCGATCCACCGAGACCGCGGCTGACGGCAGCTTCTCGATCCGCAATCTGCAGGTGGGTGGTAACTACACTGCTAGTGCATCTGCACCAAATTACGGCAACGAGTCCCTGAGCGACGTTACCGTTGCGCTGGGTCGGGTCACAGATTTGAATTTTGTCCTACGTTCTGGCGCAGTTGTTGAAGAAGTTGTCGTGACAGCTTCCCGCGTGACCTCCCAGGTCGCTGTTGGGCCTAGCGCTTCATTCGGTTTAGATACCCTGGAAACGACGCCTGCCATCAACCGTAACATTACTGACGTCCTGCGGATTGACCCACGCATCTACGTGGATGAGTCTCGCGGTGGTATCAATGCCATTCAATGTGGCGGTAAGAACTCACGTTTCAACAGCCTCACTGTAGATGGTGTGCGTACAAACGATTCTTTTGGTTTGAACGCAAACGGCTATCCCACCGAACGCATACCTTTTTCTTATGATGCGATCAACGAAGTCTCTGTAGAGCTGGCACCTTTTGATGCCCGCTACGGTGGTTTCACCGCGTGTAACATCAACGCGGTGACCAAATCCGGCGGTAATGAGTTTTTTGGTTCTGTTTTTTACGACTACACCGACGATTCAATGCGCGGCGACAAGCTGGAAGGTGACGATATTGAATTTGGTGATTTTGATGAGAAACGTTATGGCGTAACGCTCGGCGGACCCATCATCAAAGACAAGCTGTTCTTCTTTGCCTCTTATGAAGAGCTGGATGGCGCCAACCTGTTTGATCGTGGTCCGATTGGTTCTGGTGCGGTTAATGAAGTGTTAGTCACTCAAGCGGAACTGGACGAAATCCTTCAGATTTCCCGTGATATTTACCAGTATGACCCAGGCAGCGTCCCGGGCAGCTTTGCCAACGACGATGAAAAACTGCTGGTGAAGTTGGATTGGTATATTAATGAAAGCCATCGTGTGGCTTTGACCTATAACTATAACGACGGCTTTAACACCGTTGAGTCCGACGGCGATGCCGATGAGTTCGAATTCACCAACCACTTGTACGAGCGCGGTTCCGAACTGGAGTCCTATGTCGGTACCCTGTACTCCGATTGGACTGACAGCTTCTCTACTCAACTGCGCATCTCGCAGTTGGATCTTGATGCGCGGGCTGAATCCCTCGGCGGTACAGACTTTGGTGAGATTCGGATCGAACTGGACGAGGTAGATGTCTACATCGGTGGTGATGACAGCCGTCAGTCTAATGATCTGGATTATGAGATCCTTGGCCTTTCGTTAACCGGTAACTGGCTGCTCTCCAACGGGCATAACCTGTCATTCGGTTATGAGCGTGAAGAGTTTGAAGTCTTTAACCTGTTTGTCCAGCACACGGAAACTGAAATTCGTTTTGACGGCATAGAGAACTTCCGTAATGGTTTTGCGGATGCGATTTACTACAACAATGCACCGTCCAACAACCCCGATGATGCAGCGGCAGAGTGGGGTTATGAAGTAAACACCGTATTTGTACAGGACGATTTCACCATCGGTGACAATCTAGATGTGCTGATTGGGCTGCGTTACGACTGGTACACCACTGACGACAAACCTGAAACGAATGCAGACTTTGTTGCAGACTATGGTTTTGCCAATAACAACACACTTGATGGTGAAGGTTTATTACAGCCAAGAGTCGGTCTGACTTACACCGTGAACGATCAACTTACGTTGCGTGGTGGTGTGGGCTTGTACTCTGGTGGTGATCCAAACGTATGGCTGTCAAACAACTACTCTGCAAACAATGTTCTGCAGTTTGGTCAGCGTGGTCGCTCGTTCGGTTATACCGATGGTTCCCGCTCTTTGTTTGATGCTGACGTAGTATATGCAGCTGTAGAAGATGGTGCGCCAGCTGGACCAGGATACGGCGTACCGCAAGAGCTGTTTGACGCAGTTGCTGGCGGCACCGGTGATAACTTCGAAATCAATTACCTGGATCCCAGCTTCGACCTGCCATCTGAGTGGAAATATTCTGTAGGCCTGACCTACGAATTCGAAAACAACATGACCTTCCAGGGCGACCTGCTGCTGACTCGCGGCAAGGACACCGCCATTGTTCAGCGTGGAGATCTGGAGCGCGTGGGTACCACCGCTGACGGTTACCCTGAGTACGACAGTGTGCGCGAAGCTTCATTTGTGTTGACCAACAGCAGTGAAGGTAACGAATCCCTGCTGGCATCATTCTCATTGTCTAAGTTCTATGACAACGGCTTGGACTGGACCTTTGGTTATGCCTACAGCGATGCTGAAGATGTTCAACCGATGACCAGTTCAGTGGCGTTTTCCAACTACACCAACCGTGCGTTTTTTGATCCCCAGGAAGATCGCCTGGCGAGGTCCAACTACAACATCGCACATCGGTTCACGTTCACGCTGAACTGGCAGAAGATGTTCTTTGGCGACAACCGCACAATCTTCTCGTTGTACGCAGCAGCTAACGAAGGTGTGCCTTACAGCATTGCATTCAACGGCACAGCTGATCCCTACGGTTTCACACCGTTCCTCGATAATGCGGACAACGTGTTGAGCCCAACGGATCGTCGTAATGACAAAGACGGTTCCTGGTGGGGTAAAGTTGATGTGAAGCTTGAGCAGGAGTTTGGTGTGGGTCCGTACGGCAAAGCATCAGCGTTTATTGTTGTTGATAACCTGACCAACCTGCTGAACGATGAGTGGGGTATTCTGCGCCAGGTAGACTTCCCAGGAAACGTTCGCCGCGGCCAGCGACCAGAGTCGCGCATCGGTGACGCCTCTGCTTATGAGATTCGCTTTGGTGTTCGCTACGCTTTCTAAACCTATTAGTAAGCTGAGCTGAATTAAATGGCCGCACTTTGTGCGGCCATTTTTTTTGCTAGTTTTTTATCTCGGCCCAGGGTACTGGTACAGGCGTTCCGGATGAGCCCAGATCACTGGCCTGTTCTCGCAACTCATCAATACGTTCATCCAGCCCTGGATGTGTGCTCAAAAATTCAACGGTGGGTATCATGCCTTGCATGTCGGTGTCGGCATAAGCGCTCTGAAATGCTTCAAACAGATCCTCAGCGCCATTCAGGTGGCCGTAGTGGTTGATCAGTAACTGGCTCGCAAACGCATCCGCGTCGCGTTCCTGGTCACGACTGTAAGACAGGGTGGAACTGTAACCAATCCACTCCACAATTCGTGTGACAAAGGCATTGTCGGTCATGCCAAAAAAAGACCCTAGAGCAAGCGATACAGTTAAGCCGCGGCTCATGGCTACAATCGGGTGGCGCAGTTTTATATGGGCTATTTCGTGGGCCAATACCATCGCCAGCGCATTTTCGTTAGGCAGTTTAGACACCAGACCTTCGTACATGACAACGTGGCCACCCAGCATGGCAAAGGCATTGACGGTCTTGCTGGGGCTGTAGTGCACGGTGATCGACATGTCTTCATCCAGGTCAGCTTGTTCGATCAATTGCTGGCTGAGCGTCAGAACATAGTCTTTACGCGCCTGTACCTGTGGATCTGGTGGCGTGTTGTCAGAGGTATCTGCTACAAACATCCTTTCGATGCCGATCACCTCCGCAAGCTGTTGCTCAGTGGAAAAAGGCACAAACTGCGCCAGCCAGGAGGCAATTGTGGACAGCACAATGACCAGGATAACCACACCGGCAATGACAGCACTGAGGAGCATAAACAGGTCGCGCACCGGATGTTCGTCGGAAACGTTAATGCCTTCCGGCTGCTGCGGGTTTTCGTAGCTCATAGTGCAGGCAATCAGGTCACGAGCGCAGTGCCATAGGCATACACTTCGACACTGCCGATCTGATCGCCATTACCCTTGGATATGCTGGCTGTTTCAAGGCGCACGTTGATGATCATATCTGCGCCATGGCTGCGTGCGTCTGCTTTCATGCGCAGGATGGCTTCCCGACGCGCACGTTCCAACAAGGATTCATAGGTAGCGAGCCTGCCGCCAAACAAAGCCCGCAGTCCGGCGACCAGGCGTTTGAAGTAATCCACTGATATCACAACGTTGCCACCCACCAGCGGTCCCTGTTGCCACTGGCCAGGCGGTAGATGCCGCTCGTTGAAAACCAGGATATTTTTGTACTGGATTTCGCGCAGGCGGATAGATTCAAAATGCTTGCGTTCAGCGATGCGACCGAAGAAATAGCCCAATGCGGTCAGGGTGGCGATGACAATGAGTTCCATGGCTTAAGTTACTCGCCGTCGAGGACTACGGCGGTACCGTAGGCAAACAATTCAGCGGCTCCGGCTGTTACCGAAGAGGTTGAAAAGCGTACGTTGATGACGGCGTTAGCGCCGATCTGACGGGCATGTTCCAGCATGCGATCAACCGCTTCTTCCCGCGCTTCACTTAAAAGCTCTGTATACGCCACCAGCTCGCCGCCAAAGATGTTTTTGAAACCGGCAAGAATATCTTTGCCAACATGTTTGGCTCTCACGGTGTTGCCCTGCACCATGCCCAGATGGCGCACGATCCTGCGCCCGGGAATCAACTCAATATTGCTCACCAACATATGCCTTGTCCTTGTGCTGTTTGTTAACGCCCTGATTGTTAATCGTCTGGTCGATAAAAGGTAGCGCCGTGGTCACAAATTGCTCGCTGCAGTCGCCTGTTTATGCCGGTTGCCTCTTGTATTCAAAGTGATTACGCTTATTGACTTAATCGTCAATAAAGATCTGTGATGTCTGAATACTCCAGCGCTGAGCGCAATGATTTCCGAGCAGATACCCGTGCGTGGCTGGATGAAAACTGTCCGCCTTCCATGCGCACCAAGATGGTATCGGGCGAGGAGATAAATGGCGGTAGCAAACGCAAAGGTACAAACCCTGAAGCTTATCTCTGGTTGGAGCGTATGGCGGAAAAAGGCTGGACTGTGCCCACCTGGCCAGTGGCCTATGGCGGTGGTGGCCTGGATACCCCGTTATTCCTTATTCTGCTGGAAGAACTGCAGCGCATTCATGCGCGTCCCCCTCTGGGTGGCATGGGCGTCAGCATGATCGGCCCGACTTTGCTGGAATATGGCACTGAAGAACAGAAGCTTCGCCACCTGCCCAAGATAGCCTCTGGTGAAATTGCCTGGTGCCAGGGTTACAGTGAACCCGGCGCAGGCTCTGACCTCGCCAGCCTGCAGACCAAGGCGGAAGATCAAGGTGACCATTACCTGGTCAACGGTTCCAAAATCTGGACGTCAGGCGCACATCATGCCGATTGGATTTTTTGCCTGGTGCGAACTAACCCCAACGCACCAAAACATGAAGGCATCAGTTTCATCCTTTTTTCCATGGACTCACCAGGCGTCACGGTAAAACCCATCGAGTTAATCAATGGGTCATCACCTTTCTGCCAGACTTTTTTCGATGATGTGAAAGTGCCCAAAGTTGACCTTGTCCATAAAGAAAATCAGGGGTGGACGGTGGCCAAGCGCCTGCTGCAACACGAACGGTCCGGGTTGGCGGCGCTGGCCAGCGCGGATACCGCAGGGCCGATGGAGCGCATCAAACCCCACGTGCCACTGGCGCAGCTGGCGATGCAGTACAACGATGAAGCCATTGTGAGCGACCCGATTCTACGTCGGGACATAACCACTAACGAAATGCAGAAGCGGGCATTTTTCCTGACCCAGCAACGCGCTGTCGAAGAAGCTTCGGCGCAGACCCCAGGTGCCGCTACGTCTATCTTCAATTACGTTGAAGCGGAGTACGTCAAAGCCCAACTTGAGCTGCAGCTGCGCATCCGTGGCACACAGGGAGTAGGCTGGCAGGGCGAACAGTTCACCGAAGAGGAGATTCGCATGGGACGCTTGTGGCTGGAGGCCAAAGCCATATCCATAGCAGGCGGCTCTAATGAAGTGCAGCTGAACATCATTGCCAAGCGTGTACTGGGTCTGCCGGATTAACAACGTGGCAGCTGCATCCGCGAAGAAACGTACCCGCATGGCCCCACATGCGCGCGCTCAGGCAATTCTTGAAGCCGCTCGGGGTATTGTGCTGCAGGAAGGTCTGGCCAATATGACCATGGAGCGCATCGCGGATGCCGCAGGTGTCAGCAAAGGTCTGATTTACGCCTATTTCCCCAATCTAACGTCAGTATTACGCGAGGTGTACGCGCGAGAAAGTAGAGCGCTGGGTCGCCAGCATATGGCGGTGCTTGAGCAACCCCTGAGCTTTGAAGAAATGGCCAGCGGCACGGCCCGGATCAATCGCAGTTCCGCTCGGGACAAGCAGTTGCTGATCAAACGTTTGAGTGCTGATCCAACCGTTGTTGAAGCTATGGACGCGGTGCGCAGTGAAGACAAACAGCGTGTCCTGGAGGTTCTGGTGAACCAGGTAACCGCAAATTACGCCATTCCCGATCAGGTTGCCCGCAAAGCCGTGATGTTGGCGTTGGGGTTTGCTCAGGATGACGCGCAGTCCCGGGATGATGAGCAGATGGATGAAATCTGGGGTGCCATGATGTCAGGGGCCATGCAGGAGTTGGAGACGCGCTATAAACCCCATAAAGCGAAGGAGCAGTTATAGATGAGCGAGCTGATTAAGGGGCCGTTGTGGGCCGCAAGAAACTGGTCGATCGATGCAGGGCAGGGCAGTATTCACGATGAAGAAACGGCTTCAAAGCTGGGTTTTCGGGGGGGTACCGTCGCCGGGGATGTCCATATGAATCAATTTCCGCCGGTGCTATTGGAAATATTTGGCAACGCCTGGTTTGAGCAGGGCAATCTGTCTCTGAGTTTCAAGAACGCAACCATCGACCTGGAAAAGGTACAGGTGTTTGCTGAGCCGCTTGTGTCCGGCGCCCAGCAGACTCGGGTCTGGATGGAGCGTGAAGACGGCTTGCTGGTGGCTCAAGGCACCGCTGCAATTGGAGATCACAGCCAATCTGAATTGCGGCGCAAAGACATGCGGCCTTGTGATCCTGCTGAGCTGAAAATTCTGCATCGCCTGCACCCCGGGCTTTCGCTTGGACACTATGATGTACAGGCAACACCGGATAAACAGTTTCAGCGTTTCGATACAAATGTGATCAGCGATCCACTGCCGTTGTATCGGCACCCTGATCACTGGCGCGAGGTGGTGGCCGCGCCGTGTACCATAATTGAATACCTCTGGGCCTATCCCATGCAGGGGCTGAACCCCTATGTTGGTGAATCTGTTGGGCTGTTTGGTGCCATAGAAATAGGCTTTACCAACGGCCCGTTTTTGTTGAACCGACCTTATCATTTAGAAAGCGAAGTGGTTTGTGTGGGCCAGAGTCCGCAAACAGAATATGTCTGGTACGAAACTCACGCCTACAATGAAGATCACAAACTGGTTGCCACCATGTTGATGCAGTCCAGAGTGATGAAAGCCTCCTCGCCAGCCTACTCGGATGAGTGACACCAATTGACAGATACAAATAAAATGTTAGGTGATATGAGCGCGGCACAGTTTCTGGCTGAATACTGGCAGAAGCAGCCTTTGCTGGTTCGCGGCGCCTTGCTGGATTGGTCAAGTCCTGTTGAGCCGGATGAGCTGGCCGGGCTGGCCCTGGAAGAGGAGGTTGAATCCAGGCTGGTACTGGAACACGGCGCATCACCCTGGGAAGTGCGCCACGGGCCGTTCACTGAAGATACGTTTGCACAGCTGCCAGAGTCAGACTGGACGCTGCTAGTACAGGGTCTGGATTTATGGGTGCCCGAAGTAGCCGCGTTGGTCGACCATTTTGATTTTCTACCGCGCTGGCGGCTGGATGATGTGATGGCCAGCTATGCAGTGCCTGGCGGCAGTGTTGGGCCGCATTTTGATCAATATGATGTGTTCCTGCT